TCTCACATCCAAGAAAACTGATAAAAAATCTATTCCATGAGGACAAATCCTCTTGAAACAGGATCCACTGGGAAGGAGCTCACAATGGAAACTTAAAGCCCAAAAACCCAAACCCAAAACCTCACAACCCCATTCCCCTGATGGGACACGACCTGCCCTTCTCCTCCTCAAAAACCCAAACTGAAGCTCCCTTGAGAAAGACACTGAAAAACATGAAAATTGCAGGAAGCATAGTAAGTAAGCAATTGTTTACCCTGCAAATTGTAATATATATATTGAAGTGCAACCCATTTCTGCACAATCCCCAAACCTTGCTTAGCCAAGCAAACACAGGGACTTGCAGCAGCCATTCAGGGACTTCCTAAAATGCAATTTAACCAGAATAAACAGCAATTAATACTCCAACTATGACTGGAATTTCCAGTCACCCATTCTTACAAAATTACTCTCTGGCTTGAACAATTCTAAGGCACAGATTTGCTATAATTAATGCTTTAAAAAGAGAAAACCCTGAAAAACCACATTGTGCCCAATGACTTGGCTCTACTCACAGTTTGCTTTGGATTTTCTTTCTTTTTTAAAAAGAAATACAGTTTTTAAGGTGGTAAAGACCTATGGACAGCATCTTAAATCCTTCTCAAGAGCCCATTTCTCTTCAGCACATCAGAGAAGATGCAAATTCTGTTGTCTACTTTTTTTTTTTTCCTCTAATTTTTATTTAATTAAACACAAACCTCCTATTGTAGCTCATACTTCACATCTGAGATTTGCAGAGGTCACAGCTCAGGCTTGATTTGGGAGATACCTCTTGTTGCTAAAACACATACACACTTATATTTTGAAAAGAAATGTATTTTGGAAAAAAATACACTTCAATCCCATCGTATCAAAGCTCATACAATACATAAAAGTCAGTGGCACTCAGTTTAAAAAAAATTGTTTTCATTTTTGTATTTAATCAAATCCCAGGCACTTTTGGAAGGTTTATATTTTAACTCCAGAGCTGGGAAAGTTTTTTGGATTTATTGAGACAAAATAAAAAGTCAGGTTTCAGAGCAGTTAGTTTGACCCTTCTCTCTGACTTTTTTTTTTGTTTCAAAGATACAATTAAAGAACTTCATGATGCACCTTTCTTTTCATATGAACACAAAACGTATTCTAATATGGAAAGTGGCATTATCTCAAAACCTGCTTTTTTTCCTACTTCACGTTCTGAGGCTGGGTTGGCTTTAGAGAAACAAAAATTGGTTGAAAACTGTCAGATATTCAAAGCAACAGGGGGTTAGACATTTGAAAGGAACATAAATCCTTAAATTGGAGACTTGTTCTTGCTTCTTTTGTCTGTTAAGACACAAAACATTCAGCCAGAACAGTTTTCCTTCAATTAATTTTCATTCAGGTTTGCTCGGTTGGGTTTTTTTTAACTTTCTCTGCAGAAGCTTTGCACAGTTATATCTGTGCAGCTCCAAGGACTGAAATTAAATCTGCAGCTGGCCAGTGTCATCTTGGTTTGAGCCTGAAGAGCTGAGGCAGCTCAGAGCAGCAGAAAGGTTCAGCCCTCGCCGTGCAACCGCGGCTCCGCGGGAAGTGTCAAAAGCAGAAGTGAAGCTCAGGGCACAGGAAAATCTTTCGTGAAGTTGTCTCAATTGTCCAACTGGGCAGAGCCAGGGATTGGGAAGGCCCTCAAGAAAAATTATTGGTACAGGATGTTGGGGTTAAGTAATAGCCACAAGCAATAAAATCTGCTGTCGGAGAGAAAAATTGTGAAATTTTCATTTAAGTATTTGGGATACACGTATTTAAATTGTAAGTGCACTAACTCCCCTTTATACTACCTTGCCGGGAAAAAAGAGATAAAAAGGAGGAAAAGAAAGGAAAAAAGAGAAAAAAGCAATGCACATGAGACCCAGGCCTCCTGCACACTCCTAAAGCCCCACAGCACGTGCTATAATAAGCTGTCCCTTGCTCCAGTCAATGGGCTCCCATCACCAAATAAGGACGAAGACAGAGGACAGGACACAAATGCAAAGCAGGACATCCTGAATCATCCAGCCTCTTCTTTCATTTCCTCCCTTTCCCCTTCCTTTCTGCCAGGAAGTCACGGTGTCAGAAGTGCTCATTCCTACCAGCATTAATGAGTTACAGAACCTTCCCCCTGTGACAGTGAGAAAGTCTCGGAATTCCAGCACTCCCCAGGCCCTGCACATCCGTTTGGGCTGGTGCCAAAATCGCCTCTGAGCCTAAATAACTTCCTTCCCTCTGGATGTGGGTCCTCGGTGCACTCCCAGACAGGAATTTCATCGCCTCGCCCGGAATCTTCCTTTTTGCCTTGCCAAGTCCGCGGAGCTCCTTGGGCGCTTTGCCGTGTCTGAGGAGCAGCAAGGCGTTTGGAGAGGGACAGGTTTGTGTATGCAACGAGTAACCAGAGCCTCACATAGCCAAAATTCCTGGACTGCAGGCTCGGGGCTTTAGCAAGTGTTAATATGGCAGTGCAGGGATGCACGGCATGCACAACAGCCTCACAAACACCTGACTGAGGAATTCAGGCAGTGACCAAAGGGGGAAAAAACCCAGAGCAGGCTCAGGGAGGAAAATAAACAACCTTACAGATTAAGGAAATGAAAAACAAAAGTGTTTTCAACTCAATTCCAAAAACATTTTTAAATTCTGATGCAACTGTTCTTTGCTATTTGAGATCTTTCACAATGAGGGCTTAAAATTAGCAGGATGAGGGGATATTTCCATGATTAATTAATCCTGGCTGTATATAGGACAACTGGTTGCTGAATTTACTTTCACTAAGCTACTTCTTTAAAAATACTGGACACCTCTAAGCCTGGCAAAAGCTGGGTATAAGGTCCTGTGTGTGACACAGATCAGAAGTCCGGGGGCACACACACAGACCCCAGCCAAATCAACACACGGAGCAGAAAATGAAGCAAGGCAGTTCATCAGTACAAAAAAGACCCAGCACTCCCAGGAGTCTCCAAAGGCTTCTAACAAGTAAATGAGTACCATGCATGTAAAAGCAATTTAAAATTAATGACACTTCTTGCGGGAAGAGATACGATATTGAGTATATTGGGAGCGAGGTGATTTACATCAGGTACTACAAGCAGCAAGTGATTGGTGTATCAGATTTATTCTGTAGAACAAGAATAAAATGCACAGAGATCCCTGAAGACTAAATCAACATATTCTCAACTGCCTTGAGAAAATCGACTGGAAAGTGCTACCCAAGCAAATATGAAAACACAGTATTTTCCCTCCTGTCAATCCAGAACAAAAGCTCTGTAATATTTAGATCATAATGCTTAGATACAATCAGTAACTTCTTCCAAAGAACAGTCTTTAAACAGCTCATCGCTCAGTTAATCATCAAAAGAGTTTGCTAGAAATGTCACAGCTGGAGCTGCTAGATGCTGAATTTTTTATTTTTCAGGAGGTATTTGCTTGGTTTCAGGGTTACATTTCTTTTGTGGTTGATTTGGTTTTGGTTGTTTGATATTTTTTTTTTTCTTTTAGCTGTTTGGGTGGTTAAAGGAGATCTGAGCCTGTGTGAAAACATGGCACTGATGAATACAGAGCACTTTAAAGCCCAGGAGTCGCACATGTCACTGCAAGGCTGCCTGACATCCTCTGTGTCACCGTGCTACAGCAGCACATCCAGCTGAGTTTCCACCTCCAGGAGAAGACCGAACTGACCATACACGGGCAGGAATCTGCTCCTCCAAGACACACCTTTGTTTCAAGGCTCACTGAAGGGCTAGCCCGACACCATTGTCTAAAAATCAAGGTGCGAACATTGACCCGTGAACCTCAAATGAGAACCTGCAGTAACATTTCATCACTTCGCGGTGCCGGTGCTGTCTGCCTGACCGAGGCCACCCTGCCCACCCACATCCGTGAGAAATGTGCAGCAGAGGCTTCACCAGCAACCATGCAACCATCCAATATTCGGTATTTTTTCCCTCAGAAGTGTCCCCGTGATCAGCTCAGCCCTTCCCACATTTACAGAGTCATGTTTGTGTTGCCCATAGAGGAGCTCCGAAGCTGTTTCTCCACACACACTCCCTGCCGTACCCAGCACAACACGTCAATTAGTGACAGACAGATCTGCTCCAATTAACGATTGTTTGGGTTAAAGCCAAGGACGAGGAAAACAAAACAAAACACCTTTGCTACAAATCTGCGGGCTCCAGTATAAATTCTCCCACACACACGTTTATGAACCGTGCCATCGGAAACGTGTAATTTGGCATTACTAGATAATTATATAAGCTAAGAACCCATCGGACACCATTACGGACTAGGACAAAGGAGTTATACAAGTTTCCCCCTATTTTTTCAGCAGGTTTTTTTGCCTCGCCGATGTGACAGAAGTTTGTTTATTGCCGAAGGCAGCATCCCCTGACTCGGCGGAGGGCACTGCGAGCATCCCCCGCCCCGAGGTACCCGGGAGTCCCGCCCGGCAGCGGGGCCGGGGCGTGCGGAGCAGGGCGGGCTCGGAGCACCGCACCCCGCGGACAGCGCCCGGCCCGGCCCGGCCCGCACCCCGCCCCGGCAGCACTCACTCCGCAGAGCTGGTCCCGTTCACGGCGGATCCATCCGGAGCGGGGTTCAGCTGGATCGGCCCGGGCTTCTTCTTCGGCATCTTCGCCCGCACACGGCGCGCAGGGGAGCGGACGGAGCGGCCGCGGCCGCACTTCGGACAGGTCCGAGGGACTTCCTGTGGCGCGGCAAACCGGGCGGGGAGCTGCCCTGTGCGGCGGTGCCCCCGCGGGCTGCGGGCAGGTGGCCGTGAGGCTGCCGGACCCCGCTCCGAGCGCTCCGAGCTCCGGCGGGCACTGCCCGGGATCGGGATGTGCCCGGCCGGGACCGCGCCGGCGCGCGCCGCCCGCGCCCGCCGCGCGCCTGCGCGGGGAGCGCGCGCACGCGCAGGGCGGGCAGCGAGGCCGCGGGAAGCGCTGCTGCCCTCAGAGCGCGGCTGCCCTCACAGCGCTGCTGCCCTGACAGCGCTCTTGCCCGCAGCCCGCCCTGCCCTCACAGCGCTGCTGCCCTCACAGCGCTGCTGCCCTCACAGCGCTGCTGCCCTCACAGCGCTGCTGCCCGCAGCCCGCCCTGCCCTCAGAGCGCTGCTGCCCTCACAGCGCTGCTGCCCTCACAGCGCTGCTGCCCGGTGCCCGCCCTGCACTCAGGGCGCTGCTGCCCTCACGGCGCTGCTGCCCTCAGGGCGCTGCTGCCCTCACGGCGCTGCTGCCCTCACAGCGCTGCTGCCCTCACAGCGCTGCTGCCCGCAGCCCGCCCTGCCCCGGGGTCGGCGGCGACAGCGGCAATAATCCTGCCCTGTCAGGGTGGGCAGGCCTGGCACAGGCTGCACAGAGAAGCTGGAGCTGCCCCATCCCTTGGAAGTGCCCCAGGCCAGGCTGGAGCAGCCTGGGACAGTGGAAGGTGTCCCTGCCCATGGCAGGGGTGGCACTAGATGGGCTTTAAGGTGCCTTCCAACCCAACCTGTTCTATGATGACTTAAACAGAGCCTTGCTTTAAATCCACTTGCTTCCACAAATCGATGAAGAACTGATTTTTTTTTTTTAAAGGACACGCAAACTGCAGTATTACAAGCAGCAGGAGCGGAGGGATCCCAGAGGAGAAGCCGAGCAGAGAGGCAGGACAGAGGTGTCCTGTGCCATGGCTGGACCTGGCACAGCGTGGCTCCGGCAGCACAGGACGCGTGGGACTGTCACCAGCCACAGGTCAGCAAGGCATGTCACCCCCGGGCAGGACAGCTGCGTGTCTGTCCCCAGTGGGCCCTTCTGGGTAGCAAAGTTGCTTTGAGAGTGTGAAAAACACCAATCACTTGGTTTTTAAAATTTTAAAGTCTAATAGTAATAAAATGGCTATAAAAATATTAATATAATTAGAGTGATAGAATTTAGAGTTAGGACAATTACAAGACAATAAAAAGCAAAGAATTACAGATGTCCGGATGTTTTTGGGCCCTAAGTTGCCAAAAACATGCTTTGTGAACAAAGGAATAACCTTAAAAGCAATAGCCTGTTGCATATTCATATATCTCATACATGATGCATAAATTCCGTGCAAATTAAGAACGTTTCTGTTTTTTGTCAACTTCTGCCCTTTAATCCTGGTGGTTCCATAAAGACAGAGAGAAGGTGGAAGAACATTTGTTTTTTCTGATAAGGAGGCTGTAACTCTTTATGGGCCCTTTCATGTTATCTCTGTGCGAAGAATTTCTTGATTATCTAATCTCTTTCTTGAGCTAGTTAAAAAGTATCTTACATAGCATAGTTTCTATCGTAACATTGTGTTATGACCTAAAACTATATTTAACACACTACTTAAGAGAATTAATACAGCATACCTTTCTAACATTGCACATATAATATTGATTGTAACATTTGCGAAAAGCCAATCATAAAATATGCATTTTTCACAAGAGCAATATATATATATATATATCCTTGCTATGGCAGTGGAACGTGTTCTTCCATAGCAGTTCTGTCTCCACGAGGGAGAGCTGAAATGTAAAGCTTCTGTTGTTCCACTGTGGGTCTTGCAGGGGGTTCAGGGCAAGATATGGAATATTGCAGCACCCAATGGCCCTGTTTGGATAGCAAAGCCAGTTTGGACACACGTGTGCAGTTAACTGTGACACGTACAAAATATATTATCATACAATAATTGTATGATAAGATTTGGGAGATAAAAGGAGTTCCATGCATTTGACTTCTGTGAACAAAGTGACACTACAATCCTGCCTCTGCTGCTGAGATCTGTAAAGAACTTTGCTAAAGTTTGAGTTGCTTTATAAGATTAATTTCTCATTGTCTGAATCCAACAGAATTCAGCTGAAAACTCTTTTAAGGCCTGTAGGAATAACACAGTGAGAAGGGCTTACAGGTTTCTTCTGATTTCTGACACAGCTGAGAAATTCTTTCTGTTGCTGCTGTACATTTCTGTACCACACAGTGCTCCATCAGTCAACAAACACGACACATGGAGCAGAAAAGACCCTGCAGTCACTCCTAATTTTGCTTAAGTGATAAATGAAACCTCTCACAGACACACGTGAGCCAAGAAGTGAAGCAGCACTGAGGAACTCAGCACTAAGGTGGAGGTAGTGCCTTCATATTGGTAAAAGAGTGAAAAAACAGTTTCTTTGGCAGTTCCATTTTTCCTGATTTTTCCCTGATTTTCCTAATGGTCCTTTTCACATATAAGACATGTGAATACACCACCTGAATGAATAACATCTTTCCAGCAGTGGACAGGTTTTATACTCCAGTAAGTTGATTCAGACACCAGAAGAAGTGCAGAGTTAATTCCACTACAAAATTTCTACTGTGAATACTTTGGATAAATAACCAGCCTGAATTCTCTATGATTTAAATTTGTGTGGTTTGCAAAAGTACAATTATATTTTAATCAAAGTAATCATTCATGTTTTTACAGAAGCTGAAATGATGAACAAAGCTCCCCATATACAATGCAAAAATGCTGAATAGTTCCTGTCATCCATTTCTAAAATAAAAATTAAAAAATTAATTTTTTTCCCCACAGTTTTGCCATTAAAGACATATTCCCTCCTTCCAATTCCAGATATTAAGGGACAGCTCCCTCCTATGGACACTTTATCCTTGCACTGAGAACACTGGACTGTGAAATTACTGATTTCATCAATCTCTTTTAAAATCCCTCTGACCAAAGCACAAAACCCAAAAAAATATCTTGGGTTCACTGTATCTAGAAGTAAATTCACAGGCATATGGATTGATGCCACTGCAGAAACAATTTCTGCACTGTTGTCTGTAAAACAAATAGGTTTAACTTCAGTTACTGAAAATTAAGTGCATTTCCCCAGCCAAAACAGAAGACATGTTTTGGAAAATTGAATATTCTCCGTGGCAGGAACTGTGTTTTGCTGTACAAACAGGTGTTTCTGGAGGTGAATCACAGAGGAAAAGGTGAAGGAAAAAAGAGAAGGCACTGTCATTTCAGCGAGAGGCTTCTGAGCGGGGAGACTTTCTGATTTATTGATTTCACCACTGCTTGGAAAACAGAAATAAATTTTCTGTGAAAACAGAAGTGGAACAAAGAAGCTTGTCTTCATTACCATCTTTTTCCCCTTACAGAAACTGAAATTTTGCCTAATTTCTTGAATGAAAAGAAAACCACAATTACTATATAGATCAATTGCATCTAAATTAAACCAACTTTTCAAACTCGATTGCCACACAAAGCTGCTCATTTTGCTGCCAAAATGTGCACACAAACTTCTATTTGCAAGATTTAATACTTCTTAATCTATTTAGTGGTTAGCAAAGCAAGCTAGGGAAATAATTAGTCCCATAAAGCAATGGAATTTAAGAAGTCTGATCCGAATTTTAATAAAATTGGACAAGAAGATCAAAAATTGTTTGAAGGGAGCTGACAGAGATCACAACCTGCCTTGCACCTTATTTTCCTCAAGAAATACAGATTAAAAGAGCACTGTGGATCACAGCACAATTTGAATGCTTTGTGATATACTAAAAGCTTAGAAATTAACATTTAAGGTGGCTGCATAATATCAAATTTAGATTGGATCAGCAAGGTATAAATGTAAATAAGTATAAAGCACAAATAACTGAAATTTGCTTAATCCTTAAGATGTGACTTCCCATTAATACAGATACAATGGGAGCAGTTGTGCTGAGGGTTTAATGGCATGAACAGCTTTGCCAGCACAATATTTGAAGGTTTTTTTGCCGAGCAAATTCTGTTCCCTTAGGAATAAACCCCTTCAAGCATGGAAGAAGGCAATTATCCATTTGACAGATTTGCTTTGCTGTATATTATGTGTAACAAAGCAGGAAATGAGACTGAAATATAAAATAAGGTGCTAATTTTCTGCAGTTTTTCTAATGAAATTACAGTAATCAAACAGAAACAAGCAGTAATATTTCCTTTTCACCTAAGCTAGAAACTAGGAGTGTTTTCTAGAATGGAGGCAGCCTGCAGGGGGTTTTTTGTTTGTTTTTTCCTGACTTATTATTTTAGCAGCATGTGGCTGGTTATTCATTTCCTGAGGAAAAACCAATAATCAATGCCTGCCAACATTTGCTTTTTATTTAATTAGGAACATAGGACTGGAAAGAACCACCTAGGTCATCAAGTCCAGTTTCTAATTAAACACTCTTCAAAAATATTGATTAATCAAAGTTGCATAAATATGGTGGATTTTTTATAACCCAGTGTCCTCTGCAGAGATTGTAAGTGATCTTCTGCTTTTTTTTGTTTTGTTGGTAAGGAATTTTCAGTACAAAGAGTGACTATTATTTTCAATGAAAAGAGCTCATCATGTTGATATTTGATTTTCAGTAATTTTATATGACAATGACAGTATTTTGTGTTGGAAATTTGTGCTTGATCTATGATTATTATTAAATCTCTGTGTTAATTTTCATACTTCAACTGCCTCAATCGATTGAAGAAATTGGCCGTATCTAAAAAGGTAAGATTAATAGATTCACTTCTAAAAAATCCATTAGTCTGTTCTCCCTATATTTAATATATTCTTGATTATAAAAGATGCTGCAACAATTGCGAATATACATTTTAAACATTAACTGTTAAAATAATTTTAACCAGAAAGTAACTGCAATTGATTTTGTCGTACTAGAAGGAATACATTAAATTACCAGAAACACTGTATGTCAAATTTGAATTTATAGAGAAGTAAGGGAAAACCAATTCCTTTAATGGATTAATATTTTACAGTAATTGATATAGTTTTGTTTAAACAAAGAGACCATCATTTAAGTCAGATATTCTATGGCCTGAGCTGTAAAAATATAAGAACAATTTAGAGCTCCAAGTGCTTTGGAGACAGGAGCCTGGAGCCTCTCCTGTTGTCCCTGCAGCCCAAATCCTTACACGGCATTTTATGTGCGCAGCTGCCAAACCTCCGAGGGCTCAGCATATTTATTCCAGCCTGGACAACTGTGAACTGTTCAGCTGGAAATTCCCACCGGGCTCTGTCTGGAGCAGATCTCAGGGTGGTGCTGAGTGTTGAGCCCGACCCCTCAGTTCAAGGCTCAGTTCACAGTCTGCAGGGCTGGAAATGCAAGATGTGGCTGGGGGGGTGTTCTATTGCCATCTGTCAGAGCTGGGGCAGGTATCTGCTGTTCACTGGGCAGTTTTCTTCATCTCTTCTACAACCAATCCTCCCTCCTGGAAATATCTTCTGTTCGTGGGCCATTCATTATTAATTATCTTATGTTCATGGGCCACTGGGAGATGCTCCACCCAGGGTGAAGAGCCAAAATGTCCTGCCTGGATACAATCTGATCTGGGAACATCACAGCAGCCGTTGCCCACTCCGTTCCCAGAGGAGCAGCACCAGGGGAGGCTCAGGTTGGACAGCAGCAGGAATTTCTCCACGGAAAGGGCTGCCCAGGGAGGTTTGGAGTCCCCATCCCTGGAGGAATTCATGTCCATGGAATTCCTGGATGTGGCACTCAGTGCTCTGGGCTGGTGACAAGGTGGAGATCAGTCACAGCTGGGACTTGGTGACCTTGCAGGTCTTTTCCAACCTCAGGGATTTTCCAGCCTGTGGGGAAAGGCTGGGAAAGCTGGATTGTTCAGCCTGGAGGAGCTTTGGGGTGACCTGTGCCCTTCCAGTTCATGAGGGGACCTTACAGCAAGGATGGAGAGGGACTATTTACAAGGATCTAGAGAGACAGGACGAGAGAATGGCTTCAAACTGAAGAGTAGGTTTGGATGGAATATTAGGATGACATTCTGAGCTATTAGGATGAAATTCCTCCTTGTGACAGTGGTGCAGCCACGGCACAGTTTGCCCAGAGCAGCTGTTGTATCCCTGAGTGTCCAAAGCCAGGCTGGACAGGGCTTGGAGAAAGCTGGGATAGTGCAAAGTGCCCCTGCCGACAGCAGGCGGGTTGGAATGAGAATGAGATGATCTGTAATGTCCTTTCCCACTCTGAGCATTCCCGGCCTCCATAACCCCGGGGTCGCCTCAGCCGCCTCGCCCCGCCCGCCGCGTTTTGGCGCCGAAACCTTCGGCATCTCGCGAGACTCGCGGCTCTCGCGGGACCCGGCGCGCGCGGGGACAGCCCCGGCCCCTCAGAGAGGGACGTCCGTGCAGAGAGCGCGTCCGGAACGGCACCGGAGCCGGGACTGTGCCGCCTCAGCCCCGCGTCCGGAACGGCACCGGAGCCGGGACCGTGCCGCCTCAGCCCCGCGTCCGGAACGGCACCGGAGCCGGGACTGTGCCGCCTCAGCCCCGCGTCCGGAACGGCACCGGAGCCGGGACTGTGCCGCCTCAGCCCCGCGGCCGGAACGGCACCGGAGCCGGGACTGTGCCGCCTCAGCCCCGCGTCCGGAACGGCACCGGAGCCGGGACTGTGCCGCCTCAGCCCCGCGTCCGGAACGGCACCGGAGCCGGGACTGTGCCGCCTCAGCCCCGCGTCCGGATCGGCACCGGAGCCGGGACTGTGCCGCCTCAGCCCCGCGTCCGGATCGGCACCGGAGCCGGGACTGTGCCGCCTCAGCCCCGCGTCCGGAACGGCACCGGAGCCGGGACTGTGCCGCCTCAGCCCGGCCCCTGAAACAGCACCGCAGCCCGGGCCGCACCACCTCAGCCCGGCCCAGCCCAGCCGGGGGCTCTGGGTCAGCTTCACTTGCGGAGCCGGAAAAGGGAACTCCTCTTCCAGACCACGTTTTGAAGTGGGTGAGCTGTAAATTTGAGGAATTGCCACTCCACCCCCTCGTAGGCTTTGGTCAGGCATGTGGCTAGAAAAGCGCTGTAGTCAGGAGTCGATTTATTAAGGTTAATTCCTGCCACTCCTAAGTAACTCTGACGAGTTGAAACATCACAAACCTTTATTTTATTCGGCTCAGCAAGGTTGGGTTGTGTTATCCTCTGTATGGTATCTGCTGTTTAATTTGTATGATGATCTGGTTGGCAGATCTTTTCCTGAAAAAGCTGTAAATGTTTTATATAATTGACGTTTATCTGCTCTGTGTCAGCCTCGCTGCTTCTCTTTAAATGCTTTTGGTGTTTTCCACAGGAGGGGGAAAAAGGCTTCTTTGTAGCAATGCTGGATCCTTTAGAGAACAACTTATTTGATCTTCCTGATTATGAGAACACAGAAGACGAAACCTTCCCACCTCTTCCACCTCCTGGCTCTCCAGGAAGAGACGATGCAGAATGGGCTCAGGCTAATGGAGGTGAGCACCCCCTAAAAATCCCATTTTAATGCTGTGCAGTTGAAATCAGTGGTGTTGGACTTCAGTGCTTAAAAATAGGCAGAAAAACTGTAAATGTAAATTGTTAATCATGCAATGCTTTCCAGCTTGTGGGAAAAATTTATTTTTGTAGAGTCCCTGAAAATATGTGCACAGAGGAATCTTTATAAAACTCAAGCTCCTCTGACACAATGTTGCTACAAATAATTATACAGCAACGATCTATAATTACTCTTTATGACTTGGCTTATAGGAGGGATAAGAGTGTTGGATGTGCTCTCAGTGCACTTATGAGAAATACAAGTAGAAACTTAAAATGTGCATGACACAATCCTGGGTGATGGCAATTGTTTTGAATACTTAAATGATGCTTTTCTCCCCCAGATCCAGATGGAAACCAGCAGTCCCAAACAAAGGATTCTGCTGTGACCACACAGAAGGCAGTAAAAAGACCAAGGCCTAGATTAGATGCCCAAAGGTAACTTTATACAGAACATTTCTTTGTGTGCTGAGTTTGATGTAGGGCTGTGGGAGAATGATTCAGGTACCTCTAAAACTGGTGTGAGTTCTTTATAATCAACACAAAGAATCCAAGCTTTAGGCTGTTTCAAGTAATGTGAGGGTTTTTTCTTAGGTTTTTTTTACTTGTTAATTGGAAGAAGAAAGTAGGTTTCAAATAACTCCCCCATTTCGGATTCCCAGGTTAATTTCAGAAAGAGGAATCCCAGCTCTGAGAAACATGTTTGACAACGTGAAGTTCAAGGGCAAAGGGCACGAGGTAAGAGCTGGTGAACTTGGGGTTTGTTTCCAGGAGGTGAATGCAGATTTGCTAGAGTGCTGCCCATCTGCTATGGGGAGCACTGATAGAATTCTGGTTAGCCAGCTTCCAGCAGTGCCTGACAAGCCCTGATGGTGTTTGGAGCTTCAAACTTAAAAACAATCATTAAATGCTTTAACAAAATCCATCTTTTGATCATAAAATTCTTTCCCTCAACTCTAAAAGCAGAATACCCCATCTGTGGCTCTTGTATTGTCCGTACAAGCAGGGTTTTGCATCCCAAGGTTTTTTTAAAAAAAATGTGACATAGCACTTGAGCAAAGAGAAGTAAGGACTTTCTCTACAAGATTTCTTATGTTTTGGGTGCACTTCAACATGCAGAGCTTGTTTTCCTTTGCATATCATTATAGAGTTTGTTGTAGACAGGGGAGGGTCAGTCTCTTCTCCCAAGTAACAAACAATAGGACAAGAGGAAACGGCCTCAAGTTGTGCCAAGGGAGTTTAGGCTGGTTTTTAGGGGAAGTTTCTTCACCAGGAGTGTTGTCCAGCCCTGGAGCCTGTGCTGTGGAGTCATCATCCCTGGAGGGATTAAAAGACATTCAGATGTGACACCTGGGGACATGTTTTAGTGGTGGCCTTGGCAGTGCTGCTTAGTGGCTGGACTTGGTGATTTCAAGGACTTTTCCAACCCAAACAATTCCACGATCTCTTGGCACACTGGCAAGGACACCTGTGCATCTCTGGTTTATGTGTTCTCATTACCACTGGAGCACAAAGGAACTGGGCAGTGGTGCTGAAAGGTGCAAAAACCTTTCCTAGATCGGCCTAATTTGATGTATCTTCATTCTAAACATCAGGATCAATGCCAGCTGTGCCCCTGTGGATTTATTTCAGCCTGAGTTCAGGCCTGATTGTTTAAGGACAATGCCTCAGGACCTGCAGATGTTTTACAGGCTATGCAAATGCTCCTCTGAACTTGTATCAGTGCTGTTCTCACAGCCTGAGATGACAGTGACTCTGGATTGTGGGAGGAGGAAGGAAAGGTTACCCTCACATTGGTACTGCTGACACTTTACAGGGACTGGCAAGCTGCAGCTGCCCCGTTTGTTCAGGAGTCTCTGTCCCATCTCCCTCTGCAGTCTCCCTTCTCTGTCAGCTTTGGTAGCTGGGTGTTGTCTTCCTGCTCCAGGCAGAGGACCTGAAGACACTGATCCAGCACATGGAGCACTGGGCCCACAGGCTGTTCCCACAGCTGCGGTTCGAGGATTTTATTGACAGAGTGGAGTCTTTGGGAAACAAAAAGGAAGTTCAGGTATGTATTTCTGTCAGCCCCTCTTCACGGTGTTTGGAACAGTGCAAGTAGGTTTAGGGGATCAGTTATGCAGCAAAAGAAGACTTAGGTTGTGCATACTGCTGAGAAGTACAATGTTGTTTAAATAAAATTCTCTCAGTTTAGAGCTTTGTCTGATATTTATGTTTGTATTTAGATACAACCTTTCTTTATTTGAAATAATCTTCCAGAGAATTGGCTTCAGCATTTTCAGGCCATCTTTAACCACAGCAAGTTGCTTAACCAGCTGGAACTGGCTGGGGTTTGGCTTTTGTTTGGTTGATTTGTAATGTTTGAACTTGCAAAAAAGACTGATAAAGAATTCAGCTTCACATGGCTGGTTGATAGATGAAGGACTGGGAAGATGATCACAGCACTGAAGGTCTGTGTGTCAAATGGACAGGAAGTGAGAGTATTTTTTCAGAGTAATAAAGTGTAAAATTGCTGTGGTATTCCCATCCTCCCAAAGTTGCACATAAAAACTTGCTACAGATGAACACTAGTCTTTTAATGTCCCACCTGCAGACCTGCCTGAAGCGGATTAGGCTTGATCTTCCTATTTTACATGAAGACTTCAAACATAATGAAGGTATGCTCTCTGCTGTTTGTTCAGTACTTCAGTGCTTAACATTATTTATTTCCCTTCCTACTGACCTGAAGTGAATGATCATGATAGGCATTTCAAGTGTAGAAGAAATTGTTGAGAGGTCTCTGCTTTAAAACCAGGCTTCTGAGTCTTATGATGACAAAGCTGAACTGGTACTTGAACATATGTGTGTAAAAATAAATAAAAGTGCTGAAAGGAAATGGAAAATGGGATTAACCAGCATTGTTAGAAATATTCTTCCAAAAAAACCCCTAAAAGTGCAATTGTTGAGCACACAGGTTTGTGTTGCAGTCTCACGTGAGTGCAGTCTGGAGAGCTCTTGGGTGCTGCTAAAGCAGGAATCACAAGCTGACGCTGGTCATTCTCTGAGGAGCTGCAGGGCAGTCAGGGTGTGCTGTCCCATGCTGGGGGCACTGTTGTGTCTGTCAGAGCTGGCACACAGCTCTGGGAGAATTCCTTCTGCCAGGGTCAGAACCCAGCACTTAGTGAGGACATAAGAGTCTCTTCCAGTCAGATAGAAATTAGACATCAACAGTATTTAATTAAAGAGGAAGTAGAGTTCACATGGTAGCTTGTAAGAAACTTTAGCAGCAGAAAGGAGGGAATTTCATTGTCATTCCTAAGGACCTGTGCAGGGTTTTGCATTTCTACTGTCAGTCTCTCTTGAGAGCATTATCTGCCCACTGTCCCATTTGTCTCCACGTGAACCTCGGCCTCCAGCCCAGCCAGTGCTTGGGAAGGTGCTGTGGATGAGTTGATGAGTGGAAGCAGCTGGCCTGGGCTTTGGGGTGCCCTCGGGGCAGTTGGTGACGCGTGGCTGCCTCCACTGCTGCTGCACTGTGAGAGCTGCAGTGCAGCCAGATGCAGCCACGCAGAGCAACGCGAGTGGTTCCTGCCGACAGCGTCTGCAGAGCGATCAGAGTGTTCTGTGCGATGGTTCCACACACTGCCCTTGGAACGGGCCTGGAGCTGGGCTGCCCCTCACTGGGGGGCTGAGGGCACTGCTGAGCCTTCAGGGGAACAGCTGGAGTAGGCACCCCACAGGTGTGACATGAACCTCAGCCTGGGCTGTTGTATTAACAGCCCATCCTTTTTGTCAGCTCTCCTTTCTATTCACAGGCTTAAAGTGGTGCAGGGGCCTGGGGTACTCTGCTGCTCTCTGGGTGGGTGAAGTTTGTCTAACTGAAATGACTCCACTTTGCATGTTTCAGTGCTGGCAGATGAGTAAATACCTCTCTAATAGAGCACACTGAATTCAGAACTGAGTACTCAGTGTATCTGTTCAGACTTCTGATTCACAGAATCCTGGATTTGTTTGGGTGGGAAGGGTCCTTAAAACCCATCCTGTTCCATCCCCTGCCATGAGCAGGGACACCTTCTGTTAGTGCCACACAGCCTTGAAAGGTTGGAATGCTTGCAGGACTCCTGCCACTTCCTAAAGGACAGTACTTTATTAATAGGGTTGGGAGGAAGGTTGGCCTAAAGGCTTGCCTGGATGTCCTGTCCCTTTTGAGCCTTCAAGCACAGCTGCTGTTACCTCAGTACACAGAGCTGTGTCTGTGCACTCAGGCATTGATGGTTGTGTGTGTGAGCTCTGAGCACGTGTGCCCTTTGAATACTGGGGATGGGGGCCTAGGCAGAAAATTTCCCATTAAAATTAAATTATGGGGTGAGCTTTGGCTGTCAATACAAAACGTAGAACACATAAATGCTTCCAGAATATTCTCTTGACTGATGTGTTGTGGATCTCGATGGATTTAAAGTGTTGATTCTGCCCCTCTTTAACCAGAAGCAGACGGGGAGAGCAACGGGCTGGATGCAGCTGCTAACGATGCACAGGAGCTGAATTCCCTGCCTGGGACAAGCCTGACGGAGGAGCAGCAGGAGCGGATGAAGAGGAACCGGCAGCTGGCGCTGGAGCGGAGGCAGGCGCGGCTGCAGAGCCTCAGCCAGTCCCAGCACCAGGGTGAGGACCCCGTTTCTGTGGGAACAGGGAGGGCAGGGGCCTGAGCTGCTGGCTCGTGGCCCCGATGGCTTTCCCAGTGAGTGCTGCAATGTGCAACTCTCACATTTGGACAGGTTTCCTGTCAACTCCCTGCAAGCTGTGACAGCTTTGTCTCTGGTGAAATGCAACTCAGCCTCTTACCTCTGAGCTGACTTTGCCACAGCCTGGGATTCTGGTGGTGGAAACATCAGTTAAACACAGCAACAGTCTCTGCTCATGGTTTTCGTTTTTTTCCTCCACAGAGCTCCCCAGCAGTTACTCAGAAGAGGAGTTGGACAGCCCAGTTGCTCAGGATCCCACTGACCTTACTGAAGACACTCAGGTTCCTGCAGCCAAGGATACTCCCACAGAAGATGGAGATGATGAATTGGAAAGTGCCAGGGAAGAGCAGTAGCTCCCTCACACCGTGAATGCCTTTCTTGACCAAAAGACCCCTCTGCTTTAAGTACTGGCACTGTACTGAAATGTTGCTGGCTCTTGGCACTGCAGAAGCTTCAGGGAAGTCTTTCCCATGGCGTCACTGAAGGACAGAGCTCTTCCCTGGAAGCTGCAGGGGAGCAGCTCCATACACCAGGAAACAAAACAAAGTTCTTCAGCTGCATTTGAGCCATCTTTTCCACCTCACAAAATGTTTTCTAGGAAATGTTTATGACTTTTTGGACCTACTTTGAATATAGTTTATCATTTATGTTAAACTGAATGAACTGGTATGTTGATGGATTAAGTTGCTATTAAAGGTGTGTTTGGGGTTTTTTAACAGGTCTTTTAACAGGGGTACTGGATTTTTTTTAACTGTTTATCCATTATTTATATATTTTTCATATAAAATGGAAGCTGTTGAATTCCAGAAGTCAAACCTGAAATTCTTGTTATGAGGCTGCTACAAGGCCAGTGCTCCCACACTTCCCCATGCCTTGGGTCAGACATCTCTCCTCAGACAAACACCTCCCCTCAGGGCACAAGACCTTCCTTCCCCTGCTCCATCCTCTTCTTAGAGTCCTGGTTTTCCTTACACAACAGCTTTTCCTTTTGAGGAATGAAGAGGAGTCACCCCTTCTAATAGAGGGATAAAAAGTACTGAATTTCTACACACTGAATTAAGCCACTACCCTCAGGGCAACAGGTGTTACTTCATGAAGGAATTTGCTTTCTATATCCTTGTAAGGAAGAAGGAAGTATTTAGGTTTTAAGAACTTAATTTATAGACATGAGCAAAGGAATTTTTTGAATGATTTTTAAAAGAATTCACAGCACACTGCCTTTAGTCTGAAATACGAGCTTTATCAGGTATAAAATCTTTTCATAACACATCCATACTCATAATCAGATAAAAATAATTCATATTTAAAATAGATATTTAGCTTCTTATTGAAAGGACTTTTGAATATTTAAATAAACTTTTTTAAAGATCCCCCTAGCTCTTGAGCACAGTGAACAGGAGTGGGACAGCCCCAGCAGCTGGTGGCAGGTCCCAGTTCAAGTCCTGATGTCCTCTGTCACATCCAGCAGTGCCAGCTCCCGGATCTCCTCCAGCAGCTGGTACAGGCTGGGCCCCTTGGTCTGGCAGAACTCCCGGGACTCCTCATCCATCACTTCCAGCCTGGCTCTCTCCTGGGCCCGCTGGGCCTCCTCTGCAGACTGGCTGACTTCCTTCACCAGGTCAGGCCTCACCTGGGAGCTCCTGTGGGCAGCCTCCGTGTCCGCAGTGCGGTGTGGTGTGTTCCTGATGATCTCCAGCTTGATGGTTTCAGCGTGGCAGCGCGAGGTCTGCACGAGGATTCTCACCTGCACAGCAATGCTGTGGTTAAATTTCTGATGGTGCTATTTCCTTTGCCTGGTCTCACATGAGATACTCACTGTGATGTGATCAAAAAGGCTCAAGGTCATCGAGTCTCCAGTAGTTGTAGTGGAGGTGATTTTATGCTGAGAGCGATGGAGGGATCCAGGCTCCCACTGGCAGCTCCCAGCCCCTTGACAGGAGATGACCAAGCCCTCTTTGTTTTTCATGTAGGCTGCACCTTTGATTCCATACCTGCAAAAGAGCAGAGAGAAGCTGTTTAACCATTTTCAGGTCTCTTAGTTTCAAAACCTGCAGGCTGGCTGGGATTTTAGAAAAGCAACAGGAAGGGGCAGGCACAGCAGCCTGATAATCCTGCCTCAGGAACACTGATAGGTGTTGTTAAAGAAACCCAGACATGAAACAGCATGCAGCGACTGAAGTGTTTTGAGAGCAGTGGAGCAAAAGTGAAATAGTCAGTGATCTATTATCTGAGTGCTGGGTGGGGCCTGGAATGGATCAGCGATGGGAGAAGAGCAGCTTTACAGGTTTTTCCAGACAGATCACGAGGAGACAGTTCTCCATTTTAGAAGAAGCTCCTTGAAGAGCAGCAGCGTGTTTGCCCTGGGTTCTCTGTAAGGCAGCAGCCTTTTCTGGCTGGGGATGCCGGCTGTGAATCGAGCTGTGCCCTCCCACATTGCAGCAGCAGCAGCAGTGTCACTCCCAGCCCGTCCCAGCCCGTCCCAGCCCCGGCTCACCGCGGCACGAAGACCAGCACGCCGTTGGTGCGGATGGAGTAGATGACGCCGTCGGCCACGCAGCGCTCGTCGCTCTCGGCGCTCCTGTCTCGGAAGTACATGCACTGGAAGAGCTCTGTGGACTGCTTCTGAGCACGCTGGGCTGCCTGCCAGCACCCCACACAGAGACAAAAATACATAAATATTCCCACAAACATCTCTGCCTTTGATTTCCCAGCTGCTTTTTCCCATTATTTAGTCTTACTGTTGCCCTGTTCTTTTGAGAGTTTTAAAGTTCTTCTAAAAGTTTGCCATGTCTTCTAATGTTTACATATTTCTACTGAATCTTCTCACACAGTTCATGTAAATAATGATTGTTTTGCATTCTTCTTTGTAGGTAGAGAATTGACAGACTGCTAGTTTGACCAGCGTGGTTGGAGAAGTGGCAATTTCACCCTCCAATCCACTGTCACTTAGTGGAGTCAGAAAATAAAATGCTCTCTTTTAGTTCTTTTCTTCCCTCTTTTGCATCTAACATCCGTGTGTGAGTTATTTTGTGTCATGGTGTGATGTCTTACCTGTCCCCAAGAAAAAATTACATCTAAAACAAAATCCTACATGCATTACAAGTGAAGTATGAGCACTTTTACTACCACTGTCAGAAGAAAAGCACTAAAAATGAAAGTAAAGTGATACTCTTAATTCAAGGAAGCCAGGCAGGACTGGTATCCCATTCCCTAGGGCACCATCCACGAGGACGCCCTTACCCGGTTCCTGTTATTGATGTGTCTGCACAATTCCTCCAGATCCTTGTTACTGACGATGTTATCCTTCACATCCCCCGTGCTTCCCCTCAGGGCGGCTGCCAGCAGGAGCCTGTGCACAACGATGTCAGCGTATCTCCTGATGGGAGAAGTGAAGTGAGTGTACTTCTCCAGGGCCAGCCCTGCCAAAGACAGGAACGGGGATGAGCAGTCAAAGCCTCTCCCAACAGCTCAGAACTCGCAGGAAAGGCAGGAAAGTGACCAGATACCGTAGTGATGGAACTGCTCCTCGGGACAAGAGCCAGTTGAGAAGTACAGGGCGTTGCACATGGCGTGGGTGGCCATGGAGCGCAGCAGTTTGTTCACAATGGGATCCGAGGGGTCGTTTGCTCTGTCCAGAGACTCGGCCAAAGCCTTGTTAGACCTGGCAAAAAGGTGTTAATTCCAAAGAAAATGACACTATCCCTGGTGATAATGGCTCACAATTCACAACAGCATAAAACCCACATAGAAGTTAATAGTTATTCATACAAAAATGGCAAGCAGAGTGATATTGAAACTCTCAATGCAGTTTAGTAACAGCTCTGCTCTAAGAAAAAGTTTAGAAAAATCCCAGTTTTCACCCAGTTGTCTGCTGCAACCTGGAGAACCAGGGGCTGGAGCAAACTCCATCCTGTGCAGTACAAAAGAGTGAGCTGGTCCAAACCTTTGTGTCCAGCACAAATGGGACAAGGTGACACCCAGGTCACAGAGGCTCTACTGATGCCCTTCACCATGGCCTTCTCATGTTATCTTGCCCAAGTAATTCTGAATTATTTTGAGTCATTTAAAATTACTTCATTGCACAGAATTCCACTAATTTAAACCAGTACTCTCTTATGCAGGAAATACAGTGCAAATAAGGCCACTGCAGAGCTTGACCAGGGCACAGTGACTGAACAAATGTTTCATTTGGGTATGTCTAAAATTATTCAGCCACTGGCATTTGCTGTACAGCCAGAATAAGGCAGGCAGCTTCTCCTGGTCAGAACATCATCAGAAAGGTTCTGATAAAACTCCTTTTAAGAGCTGCTATGCAGTGTCTCTTAACATTGACACTCAGAGCTGCAATTGTTCAACAATAACATGGCCAAATAGTTAATTGCTTAACTTTAGTTACAGAACTTTGTTAATAAAAGCTACCGTGTGTCTATGGAGAAGCCTTTGGCACTGGCACAGTCCCGAAGCTCAGTGAAGAATTCCTGGCGTGGCGGAGGGTGCTGCCGCAGCAGAGCTTGGTGCGGAAAAGCCTCGGCAATCCTTTTCGCCACCCAGTGGTTGGCCAGGATCATGCATTCCGCCACGGTCTCGTGCACTTCCAGCGGCTGCTTGGGGATGAGGTCATGGATATTGCGTTTGTCATCCAGCTGCACCCGGATCTCGATCCCTTCCAGCTCCAGCGCGCCGCAGCGGTCCCGCTCAGCCCGGACGTGTCGCGCTATGTCGGTGAGCTTGGATACGGCCCAAACCAGCTCAGCCAGCTTCTTCTGCCTCGTTCCTTCATCCAGGCTTTTCAGTTCCAGGACATCCCCCACGACACTCGTGTCCCCATCCAACAGCCCCTGGGCTGTCTCATACTCCAGCTTGTAGGCAGAGCGGATCAGGGTTCTGGTGTACTGCACACTCAGCATCTCGTACGATTCCTTCTCCAGCTCCCACAAGACGCTCACAGCGTATCTTAAAGACAACACCACAGTTCTGGAATAGCTCTGGCAGACTTAAACTCCCATTAAACTCCCATTGCAAGCACTTTCAACTCTTAGAAATTTAGAGATTTAATTCTGGTTGTGGAAGAATCTTTTTCTTCATTAAACCAGTGCTCAGCAACACCACTAAATACAGCACTTGCCTTTCAGTCTCATGCATCACAACTGAAATGAGGACCAGCTACACAGCAGTATCTTCAATTCATCTGCTGAAGCAGAGTACCGCTAAGGTGTAAGGTCTCCTTTATGTCAAAGCAGAGCTAGACTGTGATAGTTATTTTTACCCATTTTTATTTTATTACTCAGATGCATCCACAATGAACACCTCTGTACCCTGAATATCCTCAGGGCAGCCTTGCGTATCCTCACTGAGCCTGTAAATTGATATCAACTGGTCTATAAAATTCACCCTACCTCTGGTAGAACTGAAAGGTAATTTTTAATGTATACAGTTCTTTCAATAATAATGCAAAATGACTTGTAGAAGTGTCCCTGCTGAGAAGAATTCCCAAGCCTTACCTGTCCACTCCGCTGAGGAGGGAGCACAGGTCAGCACTGAGGACGGAGGGCAGCATGTCATAGCGCCGGTCTGCCAGGTAATACGTGGTAGCCCTGGAACAAAACACAGCTACTGCTCTTCCCACCAGGACTCCTGGGACTACAGGCATTGCTCCACAGACTGAATTGAAAAGGTTATTCCCACAGAACACTCACAGGTGCAATACTGAAGTCAAATTATTTAAATAGCTATTTGCACAGTACAGCTCTAACTTTGCCTTCCTTGGTATTTCAGCTGCCATTAAGGGCAGAACCAGGGTTGGACAAAATTTGCTCACTGGAGAAGAGGTGACTTAGTCAAACATCTCTGCTGCCTCCACATTATACTGCTTTGAATCTACAAAGAATACAGTTCATTAAGTGATTCAGCAGTTTAAGTTCAAGACACCGGCAATAAAAGAAAAAAGAGAATGAAATATTTTCACATTAAAAGACAAGACTGAATATGAAAACATAAGCCTGACAAATACCTCTGGAATTAAATTCATCTAAAACTTAATTCCATTTTGTGGGTGTTCATCTCCCTTGGAATGCAAACAAGTGGTTTTTAAAATACTTTGTTACAGATGTTAAATTAGACTATAAAGCAAAGAGGAGTGATTAGGGAAGAAGAAACTTGTATAGCTTTCTGGAAAATGTGTCCAAACAGAAGCAGAATGTCATTAGTTATCTGATAGCTTAATTAGCTTTAAGAAGTCTTTAGTAAGGTATGAAAGGTGAAAGCATGTTTCTTTCTCTCCGAAGTTTCCTTAAGGTAGCATCACAAACTTCTGAGCTCCATAAATTTTCTAATTTATATAACTCACCTTGCTCTGGCCTCAACATCAGTGTAGGAATTTGCTGCCACGAAGTGAGTCACATCTGCAATGTGCACCCCCAGCTCGAGGTTCCCGTTGGGCAGAGTCCTGACAGAGAGAGCATCATCCACATCCTCACAGCCCTTGGGGTCAATGCTGAATATCAGGTGGGTATCTCTCAAGTCGAGGCGTTTTTTCTCCTCTTCTGGACTCACTTTCCATGGATTCTTTGGAGAACTCGCTGGCATTTCACTCATCTATACAGAAATATTGTTGATGAACATAGATTTATGTATTTTCTACAAAAAGATGCCAACAAATTAGATTTAATTAGTTTTTCTAATTCTTCTTTTGTTTCATTTTCCAAGTCCATTACATTTACTTCATGGAAAGTGTGGAAAAAATGGAAAAGAATTCTATGTGTATTAGTAACAAGTGTTATTACTGAGGTGATACTGCAGGTCTGGCAAATATATTGGTTTTTTAGTCTTCTTCTTTCTATTAATTGTAGGTATCATCAAAGTAGTTATCTATGAAAGCTGGTTCCTCTCCCAGTTGAAAACAAAGTATTTAATACTATGATTTCAGTAGGATGAGGCCTTTAGGATCAGCAGCATAGCCACATACTAAAGACAGAAAAATCTTAAAAGTCTAACTCAAATTTGAATTAAGAGTTTGTAATCTCCTCACAGCAAAAGGATTAACTCAAAATCACTACTGACTTGAAAATCCATAGTATCAATAGAACCACTGATCCAAGAGATTCCAGAAAAATAAAGTAAAATAATAATAAATTATCAACTTTCAAAGTGGGCTTTCTAAAACCCACTGGCAACAAAGATGTTGAGCTGTAAGAGGGTCCCTCTCTTTGAGAAGCAAGACCCTGGGAATGAACAGAAAAGACTGGATCTGATCACAGATACAAACCTGGATTTCTGAGAAAGGGACAGCACAAATGCTGTTCTCCACCAGAATAGCTGCAATTTCCCCTTCAAGATCTCCAATTCTCCCCAGCACTCTCACAAAGTGCCCGTTGGGGTACAGGGAAGTCGACTCCCAGGAATCGATGCGCACGACAACTCGGTACTCCTGCAGCAGACAGCTCTGTTAGAACAGCTCTGTGCCCCTCACAAGCACAGTTTATTCCCCTACCACAACCTTAAATTTAGCAGAAAAAAACCAAAGCAAGTGAAGTGCTCAGGGTAGCTGGACTGTGGCTGAAATTCAGAACTCAAGCTTTGTTACCTGAAGTGGTCCTGACACGAATTGAACACAATCCTTCAAGGCAGAAATTGAACCCTCACAGATTTTGCTTTACCATGTTTTTGTCAGGGAAAGCATCATTAGAGCCTATAACACCCACACAGCTTTGTAGGAACACAGAACAGAGAAACACTTCAGTTAAATTACCTGCAATGCTTCAGCCTGCTGAGTGCTGATCCGGATTTTGGGAATTCGGTAATCCCAAGGTGTTACAAGGACTTTCTGAGCATTTCTGCCCTGGGATTGGCTCTCTTCTTTGGAGGGGAAAGTGACCACATAATCCCTCCAGTTCTTCTGGATGATTCCAACTACTTTGCCTTTAAATAAGGAACATTGTGCATTAAAGAATTAAACAGAACCAAGAAAGCAAATATGTGGGAGGTGCAGGAGATTCACTTTGTAAAATCAACTGATGTGTCCCCAAATCTGTTACAACTGCCAACAACATACGGTGTGCAGACAATACAAGTGTGTCATAAACTACTGTTGGCACTGGCAGATTTTAATGAGCTTTTATTTATGTGAAGACTAACTCATTGTATAGATTTCTACTGATACATAACATAAATTATTCAGAGATTCCCACTGTTGCTGAAATGTGGCCAATTCTAGTAATACAGAGAATTTTTAATAGCAAAGAGCAAAACAAAACATGATTTCCCTACAAAAAGAGAATTAACCTCTTGAAGCTTTTAGCTCTGACCTCAACAAACTTTTAAGATGCAGCTACAGCTTCAGAGTAATCATTTCAAACCAGACTCTAAGCTCCCATGGTACCCAGGCTTGTCACACAGGGATACTTTTTCACCTAACACTTTTTTTTTCCCATTATTTATCAACAGGGAATTAAGAGGATGCTTCTCCTTACCTGTGGGCATAGGGTCACCTGTGGTGTCTGCAGGTGCTTTTTCCTCAGTCTCATTTTCGCAGAGGGCAACAGTCCTTCCCTTCCATTCATGCACAGGGAGCAGCTCAACCACAACCACATCCCCATGGATTGCACGATTCCGAGCCTTGGCCCCATAAATAAGGATGTCACTTTGAAGTTCTGTATTTAAAATAAAGGGAAACAGAACTATAATATGCTAAAAAAATTAAAATCCCTCCATTCTTGGCAGCATTCTGCTGAAATAACAGAAATTTTTTTCTGTTGGAAAACTTTTCCAATATGATTTCCTCTAAAAAGAACTACTGGCAAGAAATTATTATTGCAAGGAAATGAGAAGATTTTCCTCTTCTTTTTGTTTGTTTCTTTTTTTTTTAAAGTGTCTTTTAAGGAATTCTGTAAATGAACTTTTGGATAAAAAGCAGGATAGGCTGGGATAAGTTCACTGTTCTTAAACAGAAGCTATAAAAGCAGACAGCATAGTTAAATTGTGAAAGCCACTGCCACAGGATTCTGGGGAGGATTCAGAATAAAACAAGCTTTTAAAAAATAATGAGTATACTGAGCACTGGTTTGCCTGCAGGGTCTGTCACAGGACCATTTGAAAGCAGTTATTAGTGAGAGCTGGGCCAATGTGTCTGTGCAAGGGCAATGGACTGTTCCTTCAAAGGTGCTGATTAGTAACTCATGCCAGAGAGACAATCCTGGATCACTCTGGATCAGCTTGATCCAAAAGGCAATTTTCCAATTATGTTCACAAAGACCAGCTTCCTAATCCTGCCAACATCTATGCAAACTCTTATTGCAGTCAAAGGAGTGCACCTGAGGTTAGAGCAAAGGGACAATTTGCACCAGCATTTCCCTTCAGAGGGGTGCAGGGAAACAGGACAAGATGCCAGAATATGGCCAAAGGGGGTAAGAAAGAGGAAGGAGTTCCACCCTCTGGTTAATCTTCCACTCCTTTCTGGCCCATGAAAACCACACAGGCACTGCAGTGTCTCAGCCCTCATCTCCTTTGACAGCTGAACAGTCTCACCCGTGTCTTTGCTGCCAATCCCCTGCAGCCGAACAAAAGCTTCCAGCTGTGCTCGGTGCTTATTGACATTCAGGGCACCCTGGAAGAGAACAACAAACCAACCAGTGAATGAAAGAGTCACCCTAAAAGTAAACAACTTTAAAGAATAACATTTTGGGGATTAAAATTATTTTTACATGAATTAGTTTTTATTGATCCGTGGGTTATTTTGAACACAGCTGTTCTCTCTATAGGGGGGCATCATGATGTAAGGCTTGAAGTGTTCACTTCTGGAAAAGTAAATTCTTTTAAATGTTGAATTTATTTGTAAGATGCTAAATGACATTTTACTCCAACCACAGGCAGTGTAAGCTTACCTTTACTGACTGCCTTTGCAGAGAATTTGACATTATTCCAAGAAAGAAAAACCTCTGTCTTTCTGTTCATATTTTATCCAAAAATTACTGCCTCTAATTCTTTAAATTATTTTTAAAAAAAGGATGCTTGTCTACCAACAATCCATATTAAGGCCCTCAACAGCCACAAACCTGTAAATTAATTTCATTAACTGGGAGATCTCTGTGCAAATGAATTTAGAACTGCTCTGCTGCTTTTGTGCAGCACTATTTATATTTAAGAATGAGTTCTTGCTGCTTCAAATCACACCTGGTTTATCAATTTACAGGTACATCAAATATCAACCTGAAGAGAAACGCATAGCAAATTTCAAATCTTCAATAGTTGATTCTTTTAACTTCTACAAGCCAAAAAAAAAAAAAAATCCACATGTCACAACACAGTGTAGGGGAAATATTTCAAGAATCCTAATCCCTTCCATCCTCTTGTTTTTTGTTTTCTTTCCCTCTTCCCAGCACAGCCATATTTCTTTCTCTAATCACTTTAATTCAGGCAACTCAAGGGATCAAGCACAAGACTGCAATGTTCTGTGTATGTTCCCTGTGTAACAAATACCTGCAGGTATCTTCCAGACTTGATCCCAGCCTCCAACACTTCCACAGGTAAGTGCTCAGGATATTCTTTGCCATGGTTCTCTTGGCTTTCACTCTCCCGTTCACGCCGAGCTTGGACTATGGAGCCAAAGAGCTCATGGGCAGCCTCCAGGTCAGGCCAGAAGTTATCCAAGTAATTCTGTATGCACAAATAGAAATAAACAGAAAAGTATTCCGAGATCTCTGTTCTTTTAATAATGCATTTGGAAAGCCCATAATGGACAGGATCTGTCTCACACTGTACCCAAATAACACAATGGTAATGATGAGTTTGCTCCAAACCCCACACATCTGTCCCAGGTCCAGCCTAATCCACTGCTAAATACAACAAAGGTCAATCAGTTTGGTGCAGTTTTTACTCAATATCCTTTCACAGCTGAACGTAAACATCCCATCCCCAGATCCCACTGAGTTCCAGTAGTACAGAGATGGACACCAAAATGAAGAATGAATTATCTTCTCAGACATCACTGTATCCTCAGCAGTCCAGGCAAAGTAACTGGCAGAACATTGTTGATGGATATTTAGGCTACAGTTGCTTACGGACTGCTTGCACTCCAGATTTAGGCAGCTGCCAAAGGGAACAGACCAATGCTCATCAATGGCAAACTCCTTACAAACAAGGAAAACAAGGAAAAGGTCTCCTAAGAAAGATGACCTCTGTCATCAGAGCTGCTGTTTAGCTTTTTGGCTCTCTGCTTTGCTCACTGCCACTAGTTTTTCTGACATTCACATAAGTGACATATTTGCTGCTTTGATAAATGGAGACATGAGTTACCATCACAGTTTTCTTGAATGTAAACTCTGACTGCAATATACTTAAATGTACTTGCTTCATCATTTTGATGCAGCATAAGGGAAACCTTTTATTTTTCTGGCATGTTACCTTGAAGGAAATCACAAACACTCCTTCTGTTTCATTTCCGTACTGCCTGATAGCATCTTCATCTTCTGTTACCATAACAACTGGCATCTGACCCAGGCAGTGATTGTGATACCAGGCTGCTGCATTGTAAATATTCCTAGAAAAGCAAAATTTGAAATAAGACTTCTGCAACAGTTCATTTTCTACTTGCATGATTTTGCTGGCTTCGTATAAATGAGATTTTGATTTAACACTCAGACTTTTGAGACATATACAGCAAGCTACAGAAATGTTTTTCTGCAAAAATGCTCCTGTGCCACTCTTAAGCCCCACAAGAAGAGAGGAGAATAGAATGTTTCCTCCCGAGTACATCAACTTGTGCCCTGGCTGCAACATGAAGTTCCTCTGAGTGACTGTAAAAAGCAGGCTGGAGGTGCTAAGACTCTGATGCTACAGTGTGACTTTAAACTGCTCCAGCTTTTTCTTTAGCATTACTGCATTTAATTTAATTACATTTTGTCTATTTCCCTAAGAAAACAATGCTGGTACTTTATAATCACAAAGCACAATGCAGACTTCCAGTTGCAGAGCTAAGCAGGGCAGGAGCATGAACTCTGGTTGGTGCTGGTGCATGCTCACACTCCTGCACACAAAGTCATGATGCTGTGCAGTGTGACACTGCAGAGGTTCAAACAAACCTGGTCTGCCACTTCTCCATGGATTCTCCCTTCTCCCTGGGCAGGTAGCAGTGCTGGTGAAATTCATTAGCAAACACAGTACAGTCGTGACGGGGATCCTTCAATAGATTCCGTAACTTGTTGTACTGTCTGCAATGAAAAAAGAGAAATATATTCTTGTGCCTGCTTTTGATAATGCTATTCTAACTCCCTGTGAAAATACAGCTGAAAAACTCCAGGAAAATTACTGTCTTGCACAGAGAAACGCATTCATTAAATTACACCGCTGATGATAAATCCTAAACCATCCTGCAAGCAAACTTTTTTAAGTTCCATCGTGAACACTTCTGATTTTAAACATACTTGTTTTCCAGTGAGCCCCACAAAACATCTTAAATGTTCAGGAACTTGTTTTGTTTGTCACTTTTGGGGCAAGAGCTATTTCTTCAAAAGCCTTTGTGCTTTAGAAATATGGGAAGGTCCTGAGAGCAAATTTTACTCTGAAATGCTGTGGCAATGCCCAGGTTAATGTCTGGTGAGATAAGTAACAGACAATAATATTAATTATTCCCCAAAGACAAGTGCTCAGGCGTCAAAACAAGAAACCAAAACCTGTCCATAATCTAGCTGTGGGCACATAATAGATCATTACAGCAAAGTCTAATTAATTCCTGTCACCAGCCACTTGATTAGTTAATAATGCTACAGGTTTCATATCACTCCTATCAAGTGAAAACTATGCCAGGCATTGATATCCATGGATCACAAAGGATCCCCTTTGTAAAATTACATTAAGACACTTGAAAGGCCTAAAGAATTATACATTTTACAAATCAGTATTTTTACTTCAATCTAAAAAAAAAATAAGTTATTGCAGGAAAAGTACCTTCGTCCTTTCTGATGTTGCACAGCCTGACAAGCTGTTTGCATGAAAATAATTCCTTTCAGCTCTGGAAATTCCAGAATCTCCAGGTACTCCTGAACAACCTTGCAGTCGGGGACAACGTAGTGTGTGACATCATCTGATAACAATTTGCCATCTAGAAGATAATTCAGAGTTTCAAGGTTCAAACTTTCAGTTGCAGTAATGGCTTCTTGAAAATATTTCCTGATATAAGAAAATTAGAGTTGCGCCTCCTCAAATCTTTTTCTGATGAGCAAAATTATGGATTTTATGGTTAACTTCAGTGGTACAGTCCATAAATTTGTGACAAAAACCCTTTTGCATCAACTGATGCCAAACTTTTGTGCTAATTCTACCTAAAGAAGTGAAAAAGATCCACTTTCATTATGAAAAGGCTATAGCTTAAGAGAAAAGGTTACAGTTCTTTCTTCCCTGTTTCCATATGAAAAAGGGACTATAGATCTGGCACAGAAAATCTTTTCATGGACTTTCTAAAGGCTATAGAATTATGAGCAGTTCCTTTACCCTGCTCCTACAGCTCTCTCTATTCAAACACACCATTTACAGCAGGCTCTTTACACAAAAGAGCACAGGTAAGGGTGCACATAGAGAAAACCACTGCTACTGCAAAGAAAAGATGTTTTTAAACCTTAACTATTAACCATCAGTGTTAATTTTCTTTATAGAGACTCTATCCCTTAGGAATATGCCATCAAAATACCAGACACAACACATCACAGATGACATCTTAAAAAGTACCTCAAAATTCAAGACTTTAATTGCTTTTGGTATTTCAAAGATTACCCAAAAGCTTTCAGATAGGAGGGGACCTCCACTGTTTTTTTCTTAATGTCTATTTATCATTTATTATAAACACTGAAATCACCACAGTGCAGGCAAATTATACAGAATGAAGTATACAGATAGTGACAAGTTGGGTTATTTTAATGTACTTCTTAGAAGCTGACATGGGGCAATCTTTGAGCTGTGACCACAAGAAGTGAATCCAGCCAGCACAACACAACTGTGCATGCAGTAACTTGGCCTCATCTCACACTGAAGGCTTATAATGGATGATGGCAGCAGGCGTACAAGAAAGCTAATATTTATTAATAATTCAGAAGAGCATTAGAAGTGAAATGTCACTGGGAGATTTATGAGCTGTGCCCATCCGAAGCTATGCTTGCCTGACCCATCCATCTAGAGCAGAATGACTCCCAGGCAGGCAGAGCTCACCCTCACAAGCACCTGCTGATGTGATTTTTGCAGGCAGTCTCTCACAGGGCATGAAATAGATTTGCTCAGCACACTGTGTAGAGTCTGGAAGGAAAGCAAATATTTCTCTCACATCTGGGTTACCTTGAATAATCACACAGGGACATATTCTGACAGTCACCTGTAGCACAATTTACATTTAAGTACAAAAGAGGGGGAGTTAGGCACAGCAGGAAAGGTTAGAGCTTTTTCTGATATGTGCCTTTAATTTATCCTTGAGGAATTCTCAACCAAATTATGTATTTTAGGGGGCAGTAACTAGTCCTGATCTCCTAGATAGCAGTAATACACTATAATGATCTAAGTAATACACCTTCTGCCCTCGATTGCAACCTAAATCAAAAGTGAAAACATCTATCCCAATCATAGTTCCAAAAAAAAACCTGTCACAATTCTCAACCTTTTCTTCCAGGCAAGTCATTTGGTCGATTTCAACAGGTTGGATATTATGTTTGTTATTTACCAATCAGTTTCCTGCATCAAATAAATTGTGTTATTGAACAACCACAACAACAAACCCAACTGAAATATCAGCCACAGCTCTGGTGATGATCTACGATGCACATAACAGCACCACAGTACGTAAAAACAACAAATGCAGACATCAGAGCCTGGCAGCCTTCCCATGTCTGAAATGCCCTAATATAACACAGGCAATTACATTTAATTACTGAACAGAAATAGCTGCTGATGAAGAATTACAATGGCTTCAAGATAATGGCTTGGCCCCATTGTAATACTTAACAGGTATGTATAGAATTTAACTCATGCTATAAACCACCACCCTGCAGAAATTAATTCATTTTAAAGGATCTTTTAAAACAAGAGAAGTGTAAAAATTGAACAATCCTTTAGCCTTTTATCACTGCCAGTAAACTGTTCACAGTTAAACCCTCTAACAATCAACTCCTCGATTCCTTCCACTCTTAACGCCTCGTTGATTTCTCAAGCGTCTTGCTGTAAAGGAAAACTATTGCTACAGCCGTGATTTGTTCAGCACCATCCGGACACCCCAGAACGGGGATCACCCCTTCCCCAGCAGGGATAACCCTTGCCCGAGGATCATTCTCTGTCCTCAGGGATCCCCTCAGCTCAGGGATCATTCTCTATCCTCAGGGGTCCCCTCAGCTCAGGGATCATTCTCTGTCCTCAGGGGTTCCCCCAGCTCAGGGATCATTCTCTGTCCTCAGGGATCCCCCCAGCTCAGGGACCATTCTCTATCCTCAGGGATGCTCCCAGCTCAGGGATCATTCTCTATCCTCAGGGATGCTCCCAGCTCAGGGATCATTCTCTGTCCTTAGGGATCCCCTCAGCTCAGGGATCATTCTCTGTCCTCAGGGGTTCCCCCAGCTCAGGGATCATTCTCTATCCTCAGGGATGCTTCCAGCTCAGGGATCATTCTCTGTCCTCAGGGATGCTCCCAGCTCAGGGATCATTCTCTGTCCTCAGGGGTTCCCTCAGCTCAGGGATCATTCTCTGTCCTCAGGGGTTCCCCCAGCTCAGGGATCATTCTCTGTCCTCAGGGGTTCCCCCAGCTCAGGGATCATTCCCTGTCCTCAGGGGTTCCCCCAACTCAGGGATCATTCTCTATCCTCAGGGATGCTCCCAGCTCAGGGATCATTCTCTATCCTCAGGGATGCTCCCAGCTCAGGGATCATTCTCTGTCCTCAGGGGTTCCCTCAGCTCAGGGATCATTCTCTGTCCTCAGGGATGCTCCCAGCTCAAGGATCATTCTCTGTCCTCAGGGATCATTCTCTGTCCTCAGGGATGCTCCCAGCTCAGGGATCATTCTCTGTCCTCAGGGATCCCCCCAGCTCAGAGATCATCCCAGCCCAGGGATCACTTTGCCCGCAGCTCTGTCCCCCGTCACCCGCAGCCCCGGGGGACGCCGCCCACCGCCCCAGGGGCGATCCCGGCTCTGTCCCGGCTCCCCCCAGTCCCCTCACGGCGGAGCCTCACCGCGGGCGCAGACGGCGCGGCACTGGGCGCTGTGGCACAGGGCGCTGCGGCACGGCACGTCGGGGCGCAGGTAGTGCTCCCGCACCACCCGCATGGCGCGGCCGTGCTGCCCCCGCAGCTGCAGCACCTTCTCCGTGCGGAGCATCGGGGCGGCGGGGACCGGCCGGCAATGGCGGGGACCGGCCGGCAATGGCGGGGACCGGCGGCCCCGAGGCCGCGACAGCCGGGGCGCCTGCGCGGGGCGGAGCGCGGGGTCACAGCGCGGGGATCGGCTCCAACCGAGGGGCGGGAAGAAAGCGGGTGGGGCGGGCTGAGGGAAACGCGGGGAATCGAGCTGAGGGGACCGGGGCAGTCTGAGGAACCGGGCGGGAACAAGCTGAGGGGACCGAGGCAGTCTGAGGAATCGGGCAGGATCGAGCTGAGGGAACGGGGCGGGAACAAGCTGGGGGAACTGGGGCAGTCTGAGGAAACCGGGCGGGATCGAGCTGAGGAGACCGGGGCAGTCTGAGGAACCGGGCAGGATCGAGCTCAGGGAACCGGGCGGGAACGAGCTGGGGGAACCGGGACGGTCTGAGGAATCGGGCAGAATCGAGCTGAGGGGACCGGGGCAGTCTGAGGGAACCGGGCAGGATCGAGCTGAGGGGACAAGGGGCGGTCTGAGGGAACCGGGCATGATTGAGCTGAGGGGACCGGGCAGGATCGAGCTGAGGGGACCGAGGCAGTCTGAGGAATCGGGCGGGATCGAGCTGAGGGGACAAGGGGCGTTCTGAGGGAACCGGGCAAGTTCGAGCTGAGGGGACCGAGGCAGTCTGAGGAACCGGGCGGGACCGAGGCAGTCTGAGGAACCGGGCAGGATCGAGCTCAGGGAACCGGGCGGGAACGAGCTGGGGGAACTGGGACGGTCTGAGGAAACCGGACGGGATCGAGCTGAGGGAACCGAGCAGGATCGAACTGAGGGGACTGGGGCAGTCTGAGGAATCGGGCGGGATCGAGCTGAGGGGACAAGGGGCGGTCTGAGGGAACCGGGCAGGATTGAGCTGAGGGGACCGGGGCGGTCTGAGGACGCGGTGGGAGCGAACTGAGGGAGCTAGAACTGGAGCTGAGGGACAGAGGGAGCGAGCTGAGGGAACCGAGACGGCCGAGGGACATGGAGGAGCGAGCTGAGGGGACCAGGGCGGCCCTGAGGGGCAGGCAGGAGCGAGCTGAGCGGGAGCCCGATCAGTGCAAACCTTGAGGGGGCCCAGGCTTGTGTGGCTGAGCGGGCACAGAGGGCGGATTCCCTTCAAGTGAGGAATGCAGTTGTATGAACCTCCATGTTCTTTCTCGTCATCTTCCAGGAGAAATCCCAGGTCCGTTCCTCACCCCTGATTTTGTGTGACCACATGTCAGAGCACTCCGGGAGATGGGGATCAGGGAAAGGGTGCATGAGGAGAGCAGGCAAGCCCTAATCACAACTTATTTTACAGTAAACACCAATATTGTCCGTCACATTTACACAGGGGAAGATAAAGGCACTGACAGGTGAAGTCTAGTCCAAGATGAAACAGAAAAGCAGTGGAAGGTCAGGAGTCCAATCAATGTCTCTGGGTCTGAGTCAGTGCTCTGTGTCTGCGATGCTGCCATCCATTTTGGGGATGATTGTTTTGACTCTTAGAAAAGCACTCATGCTTTCTCAAATAATAAGTGCCTATACCATAACTTCACTTGAACATAAATACATGGTGAGAGCTGTGTAGTGTTTGTTCTTAGGAGGGGAAAAAAACACTGGGAAAGAGCCAAGGCAGTATGTCACTGTATGTTCCTGTTTATTCTACTTCTTATTTTTCACATGTTTTATAAAATGTGTATCTCCAATGACTAATACTTCTAAGTAACCAATTTGTGCCAGTAAATGGAAGCACCATCTGTAAGAAGCTGATTTGCAGAAGCCAAGTTCTCAAACATCTGAGGAGGAGGAGGTGTTATAACTTAGTGAGAGACGACCAAAGTGTAGACTTGGGTTTGGGAGTCAGGATGACTTCAGATGTATTATGTAAGCAGGATGTGAGAGGAAAAGGGAAATGGAGAGCAAAATTATGGAGCTCTTGTTCAGCAGGAGCAAAGATGAAGCAACCCATGCTGATAGAAAGGGTAAGAAAAACACAACATTTGGGGAAAAAAGACATTTAGTTGAGTTTGAAATGTAGCAGATGCTGATTGCTGACACAGTGAGGAACACAGACCAGTGTGCTTACTCAGTGACATTCAATGACTGTAATAAAATGAAGGTTAATTAAATAGAAGTAGTTGAGATCACTGCTCTCATTTGTGCACTGTTTCACAGAGGAAAATGGAAGACCTTTGGGCCAAGTTCACACCCTAGGGATACTGTTGATAGCTGCACTTGTATTTATAACATCCTAGTCTGAGCAGTTTCATCATTCTTGAGTTTCCCCACTTCCTCTTTTGGAAGAAACCTCAAATGATTGCAAAAGACCAAGCTGGAGTCATTATAGCCAAAGAAAACTCTTGGCACTTTATCTGACAGCTGAATTTGTCCCTGTGAGATCAGAGGTGAACTTTCACACTCTGGTATTTCATGCTGATCTGTTATTGTCTTTACACAAGGCAAGACATTTGTGCAGGGACAGCCAAAACTAGCAAGATAACATGTATATATTTAATTGTTTTAAAATAAAAGCTGCAAAAATGTTGGTGTATCAATATTAGAAGATCTTATCAAATCTTGAAGAATAAAGATGATGTGCACTCTGCTTGCAGAACTATGGGACATATATTGCTTCATACAGCTTAACTTTATGAAGTACTTTGTAAAGGAAAAAATCATGGTAGAATGTATTCCTCACTTTGTGCAATGCCCCTGCGGATAACACCAGTGAGAACTAGAGAAGCTTTTATTTTCACATGGGCTTTTTGTGCCTTTTGGCACAACTTTTGGAGCCTCTTGGGAGCTCTTCCTGCCTGGAGAAGCCCGTCAGGAGATGCAGGACAGATTTCAGAGTGTTACCTTTTCACAGAAGTGTTTGGGCCAAGAAATTTGAGGTCACTGGAGAATACCAGCAATCGGCTCAAGTTTCTGAAGGCTGACTCACCTGACATGCCACAGAGGCAGAAGATAAATCTGGAATCCACATAGTCATGGAATCAATAGAAATTGTATCTTTCCATTTGAAAAAGGACTTCTTATATTTTTTTTTTCCTCCCAAGTACTCTGTGACTGAGGTAGAGGACGCAAGATTTGATTATCTTATAGCATATTTTTGAAGTTGCTTCTCCCATTCTTAAAGCAATTGTGGAGCAATTGGCAATTCGTCATCTCCTTCTAACTCATCCTAAACTGGATAAATGCTCCCTTCTCTTGGAGATTCCTTCTCCTGGATTGCTGGCTCAGTAAAAGACAAGTATTGTAAAAATTGCACCCACATCTAGAAAGGTCTCAAGATTAATATGCCATTCCTTGCACTCATAAAAAAGAAAGATATTAGATGATCTTAACAATGTCTGTTTTATGTAATCCCATGTCCACTGGCATTAATTATGTCACCCTCCTTTAATTATTTTTGTCAGATCTCATGTTAATTAGACTCTGTTATTTTGCTTAGGATTGCACTTTGACTGATGATTATCTCATTTATCCTTTAAAATTATTTATACAGCGTTACAAAGAGAATGCTAATGTTCTTCTAATTTTAGCGAAAACGATTTTTTATTCGTGCATTTTTGGGCTTCCGAATATTCTCCGTTTGTCCAAACCCGGTTAGTGCTTTGCGTTTGCAGTACCGCACACCCCCGCTGGGGGACGCTCTGTAATCGAGTTTGGGTTGAAATTGGAACTTTCGCTTCCCTGCCCGTGTCTAATGGGCTAAAATTCCACCTTTCAGCTTCCGTGGACAAACTGCTTGGAGTTGTTTATAGCATAAAAAGACAATTTTCCCCACAAAATAAACTAGAAAGCGATGCTGCTCTATAATAAAATAATAATAAAGAAAAAAGGCTTGCAGATCTCTTCAAGCATGTCAGGAATAAGAAACTACACGATGTTTACAATTATTGGAAGCATAAAAGCAATTTATCACAATACCTGATATTTACTATAGCATGCAGTTGATCTTCTTTCCTCCATCCTTTTCTTCCATGGATGCAGTTCAAAAGTTTACAGCACAGGAATGTAACGCTGTGTACTATAGTGTTTCACTTATTTTCTGTACCTTGGCTTAGTTTATCCCAGGGTTTCCCACTGTATTTACTGATGATAGAGCCTCAATATTATTTAAAGAGAAAAAAGCCTTTATGCTGAGATGTTTAGAATGTTACACTTTGTCTGATCAGGGAGCTTTAAGTTGTTTGCAGCTGATTAATAACTTGGTGTAGTCCAGATTTTCTGCTTTCATAAAATATGCTTATATTTGTTGTGCTAGAAATTATGAAAACACTTTGGATCAAAGGAGAAGGCCACCATATCAATCATTTGTTATCAAAATGCATTTGATTTGGTAGGAGCCCTTGGGCTGAGATGATGCTCAGGGTTGTCTCAGCCTGCAGAGCAGCTCCTGCAGGGTTCAGAGGATAATGGTGGTCAGAGATGGAAAGACCCAACAGGTCAGATTTTCCACCCACTTCCAAATTGGGAGTGCTCCCTCTGGTACATCTCGCTCAAGTCTGGGGTCAGTGCTGCACAATATCATGCTCTAAGGTTTATTTATTTATATACCCCAGTAAATAGAAAACAGAATAGCAAGGATGACTTTTTACCCCCCTGCTTTCAAAATAACAAGAAGTTTCTAGGTGAAGCTGATTAATTCCCTCTTAGGCTCCTATCAGCAGAAATTAAATGGGGTTGACTCATGAGGAACTCTGCAGTTGTGATTTGCTCTACAAATGAGATATAAGAGGTTTTCCTTGAGAGCTCAATGATGTATAAAAGGAAACTAAAGGAAAATGTATTACACTGCATTTCTGGGCTGCAGCTGTGCATCTTAGGTGCCTTAAATTCTTCTTACTAAAAGCCCTTGAGCTAAGATTTTATGCCCATAACTACTCTGTCCTGTGGCAAATCATATTGCCTGGCAGGTCTGGGTAAATAACAGGTTAGTCTTTAAAAAAAAAAAAATACAGAGGAAAGAATACAAGATTTCAAGTTTTTTTTTTTTTTCATTATTATTGTCAATAAATAAATCTCAGCCAGCAAGTAATTCAGGAATACTTAATTATACATAATAATACTTTAACCTGTGCTGCCCAGTTCTGTATGTAGTGATATTATTTGGGTTTCCTTGATATCCCTGTGTAATAACTGACCAACAGTGAATATTTTAAATTGAATGTAAAAGTCATAAAATGACATATGTACTGCTAACCACTTATTGTGCAATTGGAGGTTTTCATTTGGCAAATGTTCAAGCTTAAAATGTGTTTTTCATGATTATTCCCCTTATTAAAGCTCATTTGCTATTCATGGAAAGTGAGCACAAAAGAGATGTGAACAGTCAAAGAAACTCATTTAAAAATTCAAATTAATATCCAAGGGAAATGGATTTCAGTGTTTGCCCAACTCTACTGGGACACTCAGCTGCTGAACATCTCCTTAATGGGTGCCTTTGTCATTGTCCTCAAGGCTTCCATCACAAATGCTCCTTACTACTTCATATTGCAGTCATTATGCAAAATTCATTCTTGATATGGCTAAAGTGGTTCATTAGAGAGAGGCAAGGTGAGAGTGTGTTCACCACGTGCCTGCTGCTTTTACAAATGAGGCAAAAACTAATTTGTTGTGATACTGACTGCTGAGTTTAGTGTGGAGTCAAAGGAACTCAGGTCTCTGGCCCTTGCTAAGAGCTGAAACATCCAATGTCCTCACTCATCCTGGCCTCAGGGACATTAGTTATCCCTCTTTGGGTCTTAGTGATGGGAAAGATCTGATCATCAACTGTGGGAACAAAAAACAGTAACTGATGTTTATTTTCTACTTAGGCTGAGCTCCTGCAAGATAAATTACACCTGTATTCTTCACTCACTTTCCTGGCAGCAGGATCTGCATGCAAGGCTCCTTCCTCTCCACTGCTTTCACCCACGAGTCTAATTGAAGTAAGTCAGGTGGTCAAGAGCTGTCCTCTAGGTAACAAACACTTGACAGAACCACCAAAGTGCTGCTTGTTACTACCTCACTAAATGGTGTAGTTCCTGATTATGCTGAAAAATCGAAGTGATGGGAGCAACCACATAGCTTCTAGGGATAGATAACTGAAAAAGCATCTTGCATCATTCAGCCTGAGACTTTGGAGGTGCATTTACTCATGCAAGCTGAGGTCAAAGGCTGATGCTTTTCAGAAGGGTCTTGCTTCTTAGCCAAATTTTTAACTGCTTCAATTAAAGAAGATCAGATTCTTTGCCTGGGGTCATATGGCAACTCAGTGGCTCAGCCAGGGTTTGAGCCAAAGATCCATTCTCTTGGTTCATCACCCTTGAATGTGAATAGGAAATTTCATTCTGCTTTATGAAGGTATTAGGCAGATTTTATACATTTTATATTTCTGGATTGTATACAATATGTATTTCTGAAAGAGACTGAGTTGCCATTATGATGAGGAAATAGTCTAATGGGTAATAAAATTTAAGAAAAACAAGATACAAGAGATGTTTCCAGAGGAAAAAATTGGACCATGAGCTAGTAGTTTGTGGCAGCTGATAAGATGTGGAACTTTCTGAGGATATGAAGGACATTAGAATGCCAGTCAAATACCAAAATGTTCATTTCACTTAGAGACTGCCTGTTTTTTGTGACACTGATGCTTATTTTAGGTATTTTTCTACTCTTTCCCCAGCTGCACATTGCAGAATGCAGTGTGTGGAGGGAGTGCACAGCACCAGTGTGAGCAGGTGTCCCCTGTGTTGGATGAGCTGGTGCCGCTGCAGGTAAGGGAATGGTTTTCTGCTGGTGCAACAGGAAAGCCAAAGGGCAGCCCCAGCTCTGGGACAGAACTGTTCTGGACTCACAGTCAGGTGCCAGGAATGCTCTTACAGATACAGCAGCCCATACCTTCAGAAGCATGGAAGAAGAGGAGGGGCTGTCTCAGATTATTTCTGTCTAATATTTTTGCTTAAAATTGAGTTCACCGTGTTATTTTCCAGCTTATCTCATCACCCTTCCTTTTTTTTTTTTTTTTTTTTTTTTTTTTTCCCTTCTAGAATGTCCCATCCCTTCAAGTTTCATTTTTGGAATTTAATATCTCCTGTTGATGATTTCTGTTCCTTATCTTCTCTTGATCCATTTCTGCTTCTCTTTTAGATTCTGTCTCCTTCAGTCTCCAGCTAATGTTTCCCCATATGTCAGATTAAAAAAAAAAAAAATTTACAAATACTGGGCTGTGAAAGGAACTAGGGAATGCTTATGTGGTTGCAGCAGGCTGACCATTAAAGTGACTTTATTTCTACAGCATTTCAGATGCTGGGCTTGACAGTTTCATTTCCGAAACTATTTATACTCACAAAAATCCATAACAGCATTTCCATTATTTCCTTATATGATTTTTTGCCTATATTTTATCAAGTCATCTTCTTCTATTCAGGCCTGATTTCAGACAATAGGAATACAAAGTGGAAAAATCCTTTCTAAAAGAGACTGTAGCTTTTTATCTATTAAAGCATCTTTCTGTGTCCCAACACATTTTTATCTCAGCCTATTTTTCAGTTTCTCCTGTTGATTTGATCCAATGGAATGACATGCAGGGGAGACTTAGATGAAAGTTACACCTGAAAAGGGTGTGTGCTCAGAGCTGAGGAACCTTTACTGAAGCTGCCTTCCTCATTATCCACTAAAGTCCTCTTGCAGCTCTGGATCCTGATTGCAGACCATGCTATATTAAAGCAAAGGCCAGGCCTCCCACTGAAAACACAGACGGAGTAGATATTTTACTAAGCTGTCACCACTGGACATCACAACAGGCTAGGATGGATAAAAATGATAGATTTTATATTCTTGCTTTTCTAAATATCATGCTGTCAAAGCCTTTATATATGTGATGTTCTATTTTTTCATCATTGCAAGGAAAAAAAACCAACCAAACCATAACTTGCACTTTTGAAAAGGAAACTACAGCTAGCATTAAATATTCTTGAACAACATCAGTGTATTAAAATCTAGCACAGTTTGCATACAGAGACTGTGTGGCAATTTGTAAGAACATGTGAAATAAACATGTTAAGAGTAGTCAGGTATAACTTGTTCCTTGCCACAGTAGTAAAATCAGTGATTCCCAGACTTTCTCATCTAGAAAATCCTTGCCAGCCCTCAGGACTCCTGCACAGACCCCCAGACCCCCTCAATGTCAGTGGCTGTTGCAAACAGAATAAAGACAACATTTATTTCACAAATGAAGTTTGGAAACCCCCAGACGTAATGATGGCTTTGGTTCCCTGCAGCTCTACACTCCGTGGCTCTGGACTGTTTGCTGTGACTCCAGGGAATGTTAGGGTAAGCTTGTGATGGAATATGATGATAACAACACTGAGCTACTGAGCACAGCCCCTTTTGCTTGCCTTGGAGAGATGCTGGCTCAGGAAGGTCAGCAGGTTGTTTGCTTCCTGCTGAGCTAATTGGCAGGGCGACAGCCACTGCCTGCCAAACACATGCATTTGTTTAATCTCTGCTGGTTGGGGATGAAAACCACCAATAGACAAAAGAGGCCTTCTTTCAAAGAGCTGATTTAGAGCTGGGTGAAGATGGGTTCTCCCCTTAAACCCCAGAGTGTCAGTAGTAGCTGCTCTGGATATGCACAAATTGCACAAACCCAAGCTCACTTTGGATCCCTTTTCCCCTGACACTGCAGTAGGAGGAGAGGAAAACTATTGATCTTGGTATAATATGAGAAGTTACCAGGATCAGGTAGATTTGGCATCTGTAGTTTTGTATTTAAAAGCTGATGCCACTTGTAAGTGCAAGATTGAACGAATTTTAGGAGAGACAAGGAGCTTCCTGAACTGATTTAAGATACACGAAGCTGCTGTATTAAGGACACGTGCAAGACCCAAGGGAGTCAGTGCAAAGAATCTTGTTAATGTTTTTAGGCTTTTGATCAAGTCCTAAAGACAGACTCAAGAGCTGAGATGTTTTGACTTGGAAACAAAGGCCCTGGTGCAATTATATAATTTCTATTATTCTCTTTAAACTGGTGTGTGTTATTCATCGTTCTGATCAGAACATGCTTTGTATCTCTGTCCTATTTCTGGTTTGATAATTGTGATAAACTTGATAACCTTTTGCAGGGTGTGCAGTTGTACACTTCCTTCAGATCTTCTGTTTGGCTTGTGCAAGTGCTTTTTAAATTTTAAAGGACAAAATTTGTGTTTGTTTTTGCCAATTAGGGATTAGCAGGGGCTAATCATATTCTAGAACTATAGGAATGATTGTGATAAAGTTAGTGACCCTTTTCAGCCTGAAAGATGTACACTCCTTCATGTAGATTGTCAAAGTGCTTTTTAAGCTTTAAAGGGCAAAATTTATGAGGGTTTTTTTTATTTCACCAGTTTGAGATTATTAGGGTCTAGTGGTATTCTAAAAATACAACTTCTAGTACAGCTTCATCTTTGCCTCTTTCAGAGATTTGCATCCTCTCCATTTGTATAGAATGTACCTGTTGATGCCATCTCCCTGTAACAGAGGGCCATCTCTTTGGTATCCTCAGGATTTGCAGGTTTTAATTAGAATGGATTTATGTTGATTAGAGTTGATGGGATTGAAATGCCATGTAGTTATTAATTTCCTAGTTTTAATTTTGCTACTTAGTCATACATTACCAAAAATATCTTGGAAATGTGTTTTTTTCCCTTGTAAAGTGGCAAACCAGAGAAATAAATGCATCTCGGCAGGCTGTCATTTTGAGTACAACTCCTGCTAGATCCTGACTTAGAATTCTGTGAATGACTATAGAGCTGGAAGAAAATGAAAAGAAATACCTGCAGCCAAGTTTTCTTAGATTTCTTTGAAAACAGGAATGAACTTTGAGGAATTGCTGCTAGGATTTGTTTGGTTTCTTTTTTACATGTAAACGTCAATGAACATAATTCCTTGAAATTCCAAGATTTAAAAATGTCCAATTTAATTTTCATCTCTGTAGCATATGCAAAACAAACAGTTTCTGGGCAGAAGTCAATATTATCCAGCACATGGAATGCTGTTTCCACTATTGCAGGGAGGAAAGTGAGGCATAAAATAATGTGTGGTCCAGTCCAAGGGTGATTACAATCAGTCTAAGGTGCATCCTCAGATCTCACTGCAACAGGATAAGGTGTTGTGCAGGTGGACTGGCTTTGCAGGCTGCTCATCTCTGCAGTGATGAATAAAAGCAGTAAAAATATTTGCGGAGCAGATAAAAATTCATATTATCTTCTTTCCTGAAGTCTCATGCTGAGCCCATTGCAGATGAAGACAGGAGACCACAGCACTGAGCTACACAAGTGGCAGAGTTTTGGACTGGGAATGAGGACTCTGGCTTTTGCAGAGAAGAGGTTCAGAACAGAGACTGTTTATATTCAGTGCTGGCATTCAACTAGTTCCTAAAACTTCAGGATAAAAATTCCTGCAGAAATCGATCCTAAAGATAAATTCACAGCTTCTTTCAGCTTCTCTCTTCTTTCTGTAATCAAACCCATTCCTCACTGAGTACAAGAGCAGTGAACTCAAAATTTCTTTTGATAAAAGCAGAGCTGAGCAGCATTGTTCCACAATGTGTCCAAGTAATGCCAATTGCTGTAACACTACATTTCCTGCAGATTTAAGTTCTCTCCTTAATATTCTATCTATATGGAGGCAGCTGTTTGAAGAAAACTGCTAAGCTTGATCATAAATTTGCCCCAGCATGTTTAGAAGTATTTGTAAATAAAATCCCAATGAATGTATTCTATGGACTTCTTTCAGAATACCAAGCACCTACTTTGGTCTGCTTCAGTCTGTATTTTAACTCTATTTCTGGTTTGCTATCACTTGGAAGTTTGGTCAGCTTTCTCCAAATGGGAATTTTCTGAGGGAGAGCAGATCTTGGGTTCCATTGTGAAGGAGCAGAACTTTAGGAAACCTCGTTGCATTGGTGTAAGCAGATGGAGAGAATCAGGATTCTTCTTTAGCTCCTGGGTCTATGCCCCTTTTTTGGTCTGTGCTTGCTCAGGGCTGTTCCAACCTTTGGGTTTAGATGAAGGTGAAAGAGAAATTAAAAGAGATACAAACCCAGGAGATGGGGAATATTCAAATAATTGACTCAACCACAAATGCAGCTGATAATGTTCAACCTGTAAGTGCCTGTTTGGTGCTGGAAGCTGGGAATTGGTCAGGTTTCTCCCATAGCCTTGATTCTATCCCAGACAGTACTAGGAGAGATGTCCTGCAGACACACAGGAACATGGCAGGAAATTGTCCTTTCAGAACCAGAAGGTGAAGATGTGCTTAGAAGCTATTGGTTTCTTGCTTTCAGTTGCAGAGTGAATTTTCTGGATAAAAAAAAAAAAAAAAATCTCATCTTGCAGTCATCCACACAGGAATTTGCACTAAACAGCCAACACTTGCAGTCTGACCTATATGACATTGCTGTTAATTATGTATTATATATGCTGCTTTTCCTATTTTTTCATTGTGAGGGGCCTCTTGGCTTCTCAGTTCATACGCATTACTCTCATTAACATTAATAAGAATTAGGCATTGCAGAGTGGTTGTCAAGCTATTTTGATATCATTCCCCAATACTTACCAGAGTCATGTGCTCCAAATAAAGGCAGAGTGTCATTCTGGATACCAGGTGTACTTGGGATCCTGTTTCCTACAGAATTACACTCTGAAGCTCCTGGATCCAACCAGGATTCCATGGAGATCTCTTACATGCTCAGGCCATTCTGATCCATCCAAAGAGCTGATGTGTTCATGCAACAAAGCTGTCACAGCCATCCTGCAGCTCAGAGTTCCACTTATCCCTTTTGTGGGAAGCTGGTCTCTTACCCAGTTTCCTTTATAATAAAAGGAGTAAGAGCTATGTACAACTGAATTTCTCTGTTGTTTTTGTTAGTGCATCAAATTCTTCCCTGAAATAACCAGCTACAGTTCAGCTGAATGAAGGCTATGAGTTCATTTTCATCATTGCATAATTATTTGCTTCAGCCTTACCAAATCCTTTGTTGATTTTTAAATTTACATCATACTAAGCAGAAAATAATGTCATGCCCTGGAGCAGTGCAGAAACCATGATTAAGAGAAATAGCAGCCACTAAGAATGATGCTCATACACACAGGATTAAGGGCAGAATTTGACTTCCTATAGGTCAAGATTTACACAGACCACTTGGTCACTAGCCAGTTCTTAACTCATTTTGAGTGTCCTTTTTATTAGGATTGGAGAGCAGATTTAAAAGCTGTGTTAATGAAAAAAACAATTGACATGATTGAACCAGGCCCTAAATGCTTAGTGTCTGTTGGAATTAGATGAACAATTCCTGTATATTTTGCTGCTGTAATGCAGGATTAATGTTTTTTGATCATGTTTTCATTACTTATTCTTTAAGAGCACTGGGACAATTTGAGTGAATTTTTGTATTTGAAATGGGTCCATCATGTGGGAAAAGATAAATGAACATGATTCTTGCTATCCTTATTTGGAGAGATCAGGGATGGATTGGGAAACTCAAACAAAACCTGTGCAAAACTGGCTCTAGTTCATACTGTATTTTCTACACTGCCTACAACTAATATGTTTGTATTTGATTTGGACACTTTGTATTGGTAGAAGGGAGTCAGGCATAAATGAGGCCAACACTATTATTCAGTGTTATTAATGATGTTGTCTACTCTTAGTTCCTCAAAACTAGAAAACTAATAAATTTTACATATTGGAAAAAAAATCACAGATAAATCAAACAAATACATAAATTCTTTAAAGTATTTAATATGTGTTAAGAGGACAGGATGATGAATTCAATATTGAAAACCAATATCAAGTTTACAATTATGTACCATTTATCATCACTGATTGCACAGACAGAGTATTATTGTGGGGAACAGAATGATGCATAAACTAAAACCCTGATTGGTTTTCTAAAAAAAAACCAAGTTAAAATTCATGTTATGTCTGAAAAGCTTTGTTTTTCTTTTTCAGGCATTATTTTCAATAGTAATTGTTCATTCAGACACAAATGATGCATATTTAATTTCTTGGGCTTTGATATTAACAGCATAATAACTTTCCAGTGTTGATAACTTGTGCTTTTACAAACACTAGCAGGATTCAGTCTTCTGTTATTTTCTGAGGCCAAATTTCCCCTTTAAGAACAAAGAACACATGGAAAATGAAAAAGTGGAGAGGAACTAGTTTTGAATTGGACATGCAAGCAAATGAATGCAGCAAAATGCTCTTGAAAGGTGAATGGACTTTGAAGAGAAAACATGTACAAGTGGCTGGTTTTACTCAGCAGATCTTTTCAAAGGGTAAAATTCTGCCTCCCCAAAAGTCAACGGCAGAGCTCGCAGTGACTTCAGTGTTTTCAAACTTCTGTTGTCTGTGTGAAGGACATACCTGCTCACCTTTATGAAAGAGCTGCTCTTCTTTAAACTCCTGTCACCCCAGCTGAGCTCTGGGAGAGGGAAATGAATTCTTCTCTGGCTCACACTTTATCAGCAGAATTATTAAGCAGTTTCCTGTGCAGAGTCACTCTTGTAATACACTCCTGCCATTTTTTTTTTCCCCCTCTTCTTTTTTCCAAATTCTTTTCTCATTTTCATGTTGATGCTCAGGTTTCTTGGGGATAACCAGATATCATTTCACCAAACTGAAGCTGTGCACTCATAACTGAGAGTTATTTTGTCCTTCAGAATCTCAACAACTCAATCTGATTTATGAAAGAATCTGGCCAAGCTTGAAGATTCAGCTGGAGTTTACAGAGTTATAACTCTAGTCTAGACTCATTGAGTCAATAATAATAAGAAAGAAACCAAACTGTCTTTTTATATGTCTTTTTTGTAAACTACACATTTTAAAAACAGAAGCACTGAACTAGAACAAGTGTGCTGCAATCTAGTCCTGAATGTCTTTAGAAGGGGGTTGCATTTAAATAGGCACCAAGAAGAAATGAGTATTCCAGTAGTCACTCTCAAATGGAGAAACATCCATAGCCACATTCATTGGCATTTACTGACATCTACGCCCCTGCAAGCAGACAACCACAGTGCAGAGAATGCCAGAACTTTCCATGGGAAATTACTAAACTGGATGGGATTTTACATGAGCAAGAAGAGTGGGGCTGAATGTTCTGCCTCAAATATCTGTCAAAAGTCATACAGCAGAATGTAACATCTTGGGTTTCATTGGTGTCCAGAGAACTCATAGTTTGACAGGCCACTTCTTTGGAAAGTTTTACAGAGAACACTGAAAGACAGAGAAAAAAAAACTGTCGCAGCAGGCTTGCCTAATTCATTTTAAGCAGTCTGGTTTAGTCTCTATGCATTTCTTACCATTTAAAAAGGAAAATCAGGGATGCTAAATAGTTTCCCAAATGGAAACTGGTGACAAAACTGACTTCTAAACAATGGCATCAATATAGAGCAACTGGTGGTTTTTAATATTCTTAGACAAACAACAAAACCTAATTATCTTTATTTATTCAATAAATCAAATTCAAATTTGATCTATTGAATTGTATTAAATATTGAAAATAATTTAATAAATGAACATGGTTGCTAATTTATTATTGATATTCATCATTAAGATTTTGGTAAAAAATAATTTAAAACAGGTAGAGAAAGATAGTGAGGAATTCACCTCAGGTACCAGTACCACTGCAGATCCTGCTTAGGTTGCCTTAGTCATGGGTAATGAAGAAAAATAGCTTGTGGAGCCAGGGAGGGAGCAGAACTGAGTCTGGAAGAGAGGTAGGGAAGGAGGAATCTCTCCAGCAGCCACTCCAGCACCCAGGGATTCTCCAGTGCCCCATGCTGCTGGCTCAGGGGGCTGGTGCAAGGTCTCAGGAGTGCTGCAGACCAGCCCAGCCAGGCAAGACAAGGCTGGGACCCTCGGGGCACCAGGGCAGTGCTGGAGTGAAGGAGTTTTTTGGGAGGCTGGGAGGTTGCAGGGAGTCCCTTACAGAGCCAATACCAGTCCTGGCCCCTTTTTGAAACACTGCCATCACCTGCAGTCATGCACTGGCATATGACCAAGAAACACACAGTGCAGGACAAAGGATTTTGGCAGCCTCATATGGACATAAAATACTGTACAATATGGGGATTCATCATGTGGCCACGGTGACAAAAAAAGTTCTATTAATCCATTTGGTCTGCTATCAAAAAGAGACTTGGTCTTGTGTTTCTTACATACTAAGATGTTCAAAAAGCAGGATCACAGCCAACATTATTATTCTAATTAGAATATAATCACTAATAGTACCTAACACAAGTAGAACATTTCATCTTGAAAAGCTTGTGCAAGTGTAAGATTGCTGGCTAAGAGCTAAGTTAGTGCAGCTGTTCAAATCATCTGTCATAAGCCTTTTGGTCTAATGATTTTAATCATTATGCGTTTGTAACTTCTGGTACATCTTTCAGGAAGAAAATGACAACCGTGGGGTGCGATTCACTCCGTGGCTGATGCCTCTCTGACCATGCAGCGGCACTGAGCCACCCGAGAGCAGCAGCGATGCAGTCGATGTGACAGTGCAAGGGCAGATGCTCTGGACGGTAGAGGATGCTAGAGAAGAGGTAAATTTTCCACGGCGCTTTTCCCCATTAGCATCCCCTAAACCTCGCGTGGCATCAGCTCGAGCCAGCGTCTCCCCGTGCAGGGCTGCTTTAGGCACTGCGAGCTGCGTGTGCCCGCCCGTGTGTGCCCGCTCCTCCAGCTGCGTGCTGCCTCTACTTGCAAACCCGGCACCTTGAAATGGGTCCAGAAGTTTGCGTGATCTCCCTCTGAGCACATCCGCGGAGTCTGAGAGGTCTCTGCTCGGGAGATCGCGGTGTTTCAGCCGCAGCAGGCAGGGAGCCGTGCTTTCCCCCATCTCCTGCCTCTGCTGAGCCACCAGGTGTTTGTGCCTCGCCTATAGTTTGCTTCCTCATTCCCACATGTTCGGGCGGCAACCTTGGGATGCCGGGGTGGCAGTCTGATTCTTTGTCCTTTTAGGCTACTGAATGTATTTTAATTGAATCGGGCAGAAAAAAAAGCCCCAAAACACAAAGCCTAAGGCGTCAGGACTAGATCCCCTTTCCCCGACACAACAAACGGTTAAATAAATAACGAGATGCCAAACCAACCATTACCAAACGAATAAGCCAAAAAGAGCGTCAGCGCCGCAGGAAACGGGAAAGTTTCTGCGCTCTGAAGCTGGTACCGCACGTCAAAGCGACAATCCAGGGGGAGGGGAGCGGAGCGCAGCCTCAGCCCAGCGCCTGCGAGAGCCGGGGATGCACTGGTGCGCCCAGCCCTGCATCCCGGAGCGACTGCCCGAGAGATGCTGCTGTGACTTGGTTCTGCGCTGGGAAAAGAGCGGCTCCGAGCCCCCACCCCCGTCTCCTCCCGCCCTCCTCTTCCTTCCCCCTCCCCCGGGTCCTGCGGGGAGGCGGGTTTAAGGTGGGTCGTGTGGCCGCGGTAACTTTCCTAACAGAGCCAAAGAGGCGCCCGGAGTCCCCCGCAGCATCATCGCCCGCCCGTCCTGGGCAGCGGCACCGGCGCGGTGCCCCCGTGCGAGCGGCCCCGGCTCGGCCGAGGCTGCTCGGGCTCCGCTCGCCGCCTCCCGCCGCCGCCTCTCGCCGCAGCCCCGCGGAGCCGGACCCGGGTCCCGCCGAGGTAGGTGCGAGTCGGGACAAGCGCCGGGCGCTGCCGGGGACGCGGCAGCGGAGCCCCGTGCCCGCAGCTGCGGCCCCCACGCCCCGTTTGCTCCTGGCGCTGCTGCGGGGCAAGGAGCATCCTCTGCACCCCCGGCTGCGAGAGACGGAGCCCCTGCCCTGCTCCTCCTGGAACTGCCCAGGCAGCCAGGAAGAGCCGGGGGGAGGCAGTCTCTCTCCAGTCCCTTGCCTCAATCTTTGCATTCTCGTTGGTGCTTTTGGAAGTGCTGAGCTAGGAGATGTGTGCGTGGGTGAGATCTTACGGCTTTATTAGGACTCTCCCCTATCAACGCTTCTCTCAGAAGCCGCTTCCTGCCCCCCGCGTGGTTTACTGGGGTGTTGTATCGGCATGAACTTTCTTTTGGTTGCGGGAGACGGATTTGGTCCCCTCGTGTCCCCGCGTGTCCCCGTCCTCGGGCTGCCGCGCTGCGCGGGCGAGTGGACCCGGACTGGCGCCTCGCTGCTGGGATTGTAGCGGCTTCCCTGCCGGGGCTTCTGGTGGGAGAAGGTGCTCGGGGCAGGGAGAAGTTGTAGGATGCAGTGTGTAAGCGACACCTGTGTTTTTAGAGCCTGGGAAGGGGGTGGAATCTCACTCTCACTGCTGCTACTCGCTGCTGCCAAACATTGCCTTCTTTCGCCTAGGCAGGACTCTGGCCACGCTGCCAGGTGCTTCCTAACAAAGAGACAAGTTTGGGAGTGTCAGGACATCAGCTCCCAAACGCAGCGCTCAGCGGCGGTCCGCAGGGACAGCGCACAGTTCTGGTGGCTGTGTTTATCTGTGTTTATCTGTGTTTATCTGTGTTTATCTGTGCCGGTTACTCGGCGCAAGCACGGGGCACCTGATTGATCCCGAGGGGTGGGCAGGGCATCAATAGTTGGGAAACCAAGGCAGCCATCGCTCCTCATTATCTGAATCTCCAGCCCGATGATCACTGCACGCTGGGCTTAGCCCGTCCTAGCCAACCCCCAGCAGGAAGAAAGTCCGGACTTAACTCAAAGGAAGGCTACAACTCATGCCTTTATTGTCCCCTGACTTAGAACAGAAGTATGTAACACATAAATTAGCCAGAATGGAGCAGCCTGTCTGCCTTCCCCGACCTGTCAGATGGGGCAGATCCCACCCCCTGTCATGCTCAGCCCTGTATTTTGGTAATAGAAATCTCAGGGTTAGGTGATTGGACATTAGGTCTCAATTTCACATCACTGGGCTAAGGAAATCTGAGAAGATTTATGCTGGGATATCTGAGTCAGAATCCTTCCCATGCTTAGATGTCTCCTAGAGCTTCGTTGTCTCTCTTGGTGTTTGGACCTTCCTGCCATCTCTACTTTGTTATAAAACCCCACAAGTTTTCCTTCTCAGAGTAGTTAGTGCCTGCTGAATGGATTCATTCAGGTGTATTGCCTTGGTCATAGTGCTGCTAAACAAAGATGACCAAACCAACTGTACAAACCTCGCCACAGAGCTGGATTTTAGCCAATCTTTTACAGAGCATGGATCTGTTCTTGCTTATGAACAAGTTGATGTTCATGGATCCTGCTCTGGAGTCTCTTAAAGTTGGAATGGGACACCTGAAATTGTCTTTCATGAGGTTAATAAATGCTAATAAGCATGTGTGAAATATGTTTGCAAAATCAGTTTCAAGGCTTATTTGTCATTAACAACCTCTGGAGGCTTCTTCAGTGTTCAAACTCTTGAGTTCAGTTTTATTGCTGCTTCTGGTTGAACCCTGAGTAAATTTGTTACAGAACTGCAAAAGTTTTATGGTGAAAGTGTTTCAACATATGAAACATTGAAAATGGCCATGTGGCCATGGTCTGTTTTTCAAAACAGGGTCTTAGTGTTGGTCTTTATTTCCAGTCATTCCCAGTCACCTACTTTATAAAATCAGTAATTTTAGTTTAAAAACCCAAATTGGCTGATGGTTAACACACACTATTAGGCTGCATTACATTGGTCAGCTTTTTACTTATGAAAAAGGCCTAATTTGATCTCTTGTTTTTTTAAAAATTAAACATAAATTAATTGTTCAAAGAATCAAACAGAAGCCAACAGTCCTTTTTAAGAAGTCCCATATTTACAGTGAATGAGGCACTCAGCTATTTTCACTTTGAACAATCCATCGTGCTTTAAACTCCAGGCAGCAGAATTAATATTTAAGCAAATGCATACGGCAAAACTATAAATCACTAAAAACAGTTAATTATATTGGAGCTGTGAAAATACCTTTGAGTACAGTCTGAAATAGCATAAACTATTTCTCTCTAGCGTGATCACAATTCTTGCAAACCTTTTATCCTTGTATGTGAAATCATTGCTAATTCTGTGTTCCTGCAAAGCATGTGCTTGGTTATTGTTTTCAAAACCACGTGGTTTGGGTTACTATTTAAATATAATATTTATGATACTACTTTGGTTGTTCAGCTTAAAAAGGGAAGTGCTGCATACCATTACATATTAAAAAGCTTCTGTGTAATTACTACTTTTTGCAGTACTGCTGTGCAAATCTTTGGGTCGGGAATTTAAATGGAGATTTTAAAGGGTTCACAGTTACTTTATATAAAAGCCATAAGTCTTCTTCTAGAAACATGGGGGCTGCAGGCACTGGGGAGTGTGGAGTGTAGTGCCTGCACTGGTTTGTACCTTTTTCTTATTGCAGCATCTATGCTTGCCATTGCCTTTATGTAATAGATGTTCACAGAGTGTGGTGGGCTCCTCCAAACCATCATCTGTTGGCCCTCTTTGGGTCTGAATTACCTATTTACACATTTATTGCCATATTGTCATCTTATCCAAATATGTCTGTTCCGGTTGCACCTTGCAGAGGAGTGCTGGGAGACATGGGAGGCACTTCCACTGCCCCTCTCTGCCTTGCCTATCCATGCAAAGGAATCTGTGAGGCTGCAAGAGGCAGAGTCTGTTGCCAATTCAAAGTCAAAATCCCTGGGAGTTTCTTCAGGGGTGGTGATGGACCTAAGGCCATGCTGTAGATGCCTGTAGGATTCAGGTTTCATAATCCCCTTACATTCCTCAGGGTATCCTGCCTGGTGTCCAGTTCTGCTCCACCAGAATTCCGTTGTCCTGGGAGACACACACTGGATCTGGTGCCCAATGCAGATATCTTGGTTTTCTTCATATGTCTCAAATAGCACTTGGGATCCCTGTAAAGCCACAGCATCCTGCCCTGATTATCTCACATATTACAAAAAATGGCTAATATGTAAAACCCTGCATCAAAGAAATAGTCACAATTACCATTATGAATAAATTAGTTACCCCAGAAAGGCTTGTTCAGATATTAAGGAAAAGAGAGAAAAATTTCCCCCTCATTGTTCTGCAGAATGACCGTGCTGCCAGATCCACCTGTATGTTCCTTTGCACAAAACTGATTGAAACCTCAGTGCAGAAGTTCTGTATGTTAAAGAACGAGACATGAAAAAGCTTGTAGAAAATTAAAAGAGCCAGTCTCAGAGGAGACAAATCCCAGACAGAATCATTTAGAGATTACCAGGAGAATTCAGCCGTATGACACTTCTCTGTGAGTCCTGTGAGTAATGTACAATCGATGTGTGCAAGGTAGAGAGGAGGAATTTTGTTCAAGAGTTTGTAGAATGTGACAATTACCTTATGAATTACAGATAAAGTACCAAATTCATGAAGAGATAGTATCCCACACTGCTGTGAAGATCAGACTCCGTAGCTGCGAGAGTGGGCTGCAGCCCAGAGAATCTGAGGCATTCAGTCAAGATGACCAAACACAAGAATTCTCCAGGATGAGTGTGTTTACAAACACTTGTATCTGACCAGTAGAGCTCAGCCCTCCAGGCAGGTTCTTTAGTCTGGCTGCTGCTCTAAAGGGAAGCTATTGAAATTTGCATGAAAGCTTCTTTCTGAGCCAGACAGAGAGGTACAAGATGAAGGTCACCACTTAGCCCGCTCACAGAAATGCAGCAGGAATGAAGAGCTCACCCAGCTCACACCAGATTGCAAACGAGAGCAGAACTTTAGGGCTCACTTTTCCCTTTGCAGTAAGAACTAGCACTGAGAATTTCTTCTGGTACCAGCCTGAGAACAAAGGCTAATGAATGAATGAATAGGCACGAGGCTGAAATGAGATTCATTGCTAAACATGTGCTCTGCCTGGAGGAGGAGTAAAAGAGAGTAGCTGAGGGAAAATAGTTCTGTGCACTAACCTCACATAGTTCATTTTCTAGGTTTTTTTTCACCAAAAACATTTTATAAAGACTAATAGTCATTCTGAAAAATATTTTAAAGGGTCAAAAAGGCACCATAAATCTTGCCAGAATATGACAGCTGACAGGTTGCCCAAGTGAGGAATTTGTAAACAAGTTTGTGTCATTTTTTTTTTCTTGGTTTGTTTTATTTTTGGTTTTTATTCTTTTGATATTTAACTGGTAGATATGAGTGGAAATAGTTCCAGGTTCCTAAGCTCAGATATGCAGAAGTTTTACTTAGTCTTTTATCTTGGATTCCTTGTTAAGATCTAGATTTTTGCTAACTTCCCGCTTTATCACAAGTCTTTCAGAACACAATTTTTTGCAAGGTTTATAGAGTGTTGTGGACATATGAAAATCTGATTTCTCTGGAACACAGATAGTAGGAAAAAGCTATAGAGAAATGATCAGGTGGAGTATTGGAATTCACAGTGGCCTCCTAAAGGGGACAAACCAGGAAGGTAAATTAACAACTTTGAAGCTTTTTAAAGAGCTTTAAAGCTAAAGGATATA